CTGCCTCAGTGAAACACTGGTGAAAACTTCGTGTGCTTATCCTGAGATATGTATTATAAGTGAATAATACATGTGAATATTTAAATCAGTACCTACACTGCATGTATAAGGTGCCCAGTAAATGTCTGCTTCAGAATATAAATGCTTCAGACTAGTCTTTATGCCCTCTTAAAGAGAGTGGATGGTGGTGGTAAAGATTTACCTTGATCATAAAAGTTTTATTACTTGGTTAATATGAAGCTATAAAGTAAGGAGATCCAAAAGTATATTCATTTGGAAGAGGGTGGTAAAATATTCAAAAAGGAAACCATCTTGCCAACTCTAAGCTAAACCAACTATAACAAAGGAGTTCCAAGTCTAAGTGGCTTCATATAATACAAACGTATTTTTCTCTTATGTATAGGACAGATTAATGTGGTTAGGCAAGACTATGTGCTTTCCTTCAGCATGGTGACTCTGGGATCCAAGCATGTTACATTATGTGACTTTCCCATATTGGAGTTCCTCAGTTGCTCTATGAGGACAAGGATGAGGAAGAAAAGGGTAGGAGCAAGGAGGAAGAGAGAGTGGGGAGGGAAAAAGGGAGGGAGAGAAACAGAGACAGACCCTATATTTCTTCTGCTGCCCTGTTCCCTAGCAATGGTCCAACATGGCTGCAACCTATACACCAGGGGTTTTGGGAAATCCAGTTTCCGTGAATTCCAGTTTCCCTAAGTTCCCTGCAATAAGAAGCAGAATAAATGAGTATCCAGCAATTCTGGCACCAAGAGTTAGCCATACAACATATTTTCTATTAGAGAAAGACATTTTTTAAAATAACCTATTTATATACTTCAGTGTAAACTGTTCTTGAAATTCTGTAATGCTAGGACCAGCAGATGACCCAAGAGAATTTATGAGTCATTATGTTTTCTTTTCATTTTAGAAATTTGTAGAAAATAAGGGAATCTACTGAGACATCTACTTCTGAACATTTCATTTTTGTTCAGTTAGCCAGTAAACAAGGACTCCAGAGGACAGTTTCTTAGTGGCTGTCCCTGGCAATTGAGTTCCTATTACACAGAAAGTTTTTAGGTTTTTCATCTTGCCCTTGTTTAGTAAATGACAAAGGCAAAAGAAGTCAGTGATCTTGTTATACCCTGAGATTACATGAGATAATCTCAGAAGTAGAGTTTTGTTTTTTTTAAACTACTCTTGGAACCAGTATTTGTCCTTAGCTCTGATGGAAGAGGAGATGGCAGCTTTCTCTGTTTTAAATCACTAAATAAAGTGACTTACTCCTCCAGGTTTATTAATGCTATTTAACTTGAGCAGTTAGTTCTTTTGAATCATAATTAGTCTCTACACAGAGTTGGTAGACCCTGAGAATTTATAGCCACATGGTACTTGGGGCCATGTTTAAGGTTCAGGGTTAATATGTACATGGTGTTTTGTGGTGTTTCATAGTTCTTTCCATTGATTTTGAATTCCGCTTTTCTTTTGCCAAAGTTGAAATGTTTAGCACATTTAGGAAACAATAGGTCATAGTTGATTGTGTAGTCTCCAGCATGAGGCTGAGTTTGAATCCCACCTCTGCTTCTCAATCACTAAATGACCTTGGACTCTATGGGCTGCCTAGGAATAGTGGTAACAAACATAGTAGACTGGAGTGATTGAACAACAAAAATGTATTATCTCATGATTATGGATACTGTAATTCTGAAATAAGGTGTCATCAGGGTTAGTTACTTCTGAGGCCTCTTTTCTTGGTTCGTAGATGACTTCTTCCCCTGCATCTTCACATGGTTTTCCTCCTGTATATGTCTGTGTCCAAAACTCCTCTTTTTATAAGGTCACTAATAAGAATAGATTAGAACTCATCTGAATTACCTCGTGTTAATTTACTTACTTTAAAGACCCTGTTTCCAAATATAATTGCATTCTGAGATATGGAGGGTTGGGACTTCAACATATAAATTTGGGGGGTATGGGACCCAAATCAGATCATAACTGGCCCTCAGTCTGCCTGATCTGCAAAATGGGTTAATAAAAGTGCTTCACAGGATTGTTTTGTGTGTTCAGAGAAGATGTATACAAATTGCTTAGTATAATACCTGAAATCTGTTGAGAATTCACTAAATAGTACTATAATCATATTTTTTTTTAATCTAACAGTATCATCTCTACCAGTTGGGAGATGGTTTTGTGCATAGCTTTTCAATTACTGAAGCTTGAGATTATCATTGTCTTTCTTGTGCCCCCATAGAATCTGAACAGGCAGCCTTCAACAGAGTAATAGGACAAATGTCCAGGGAACATGGATTGAGTGAATTGGTATGAATTTGTGTTCAGAATTTCTGAATGGTCTTCTGTGGATATCACTTTGGTGTCATTGGACTGTGGAAAGCTCTTAGGCATCCTGGTTTCTGTAGTGGCCTGTCCCATGGCTCTACCAGATCGAGATAAATAGTCTCTCCACATTAGGAGCAGGGGACAGAAAGCTTTTTGCATTGTTGGGGATAACATAAAAGTGTTAGATCATAAAGCATAAGAATTATCCAAGCCCTGGAGATAATTTTTTTTTTTTTGGTTGAACTAGGGGCACTTGACCACTGAGCCACACTCCCAGCCCTATTTTGTATTTTACTTAGAGACAGGGTCTCACTGAGTTGCTTAGCACTTTGCTTTTGCTGAGATTGGCTTTGAACTCATAATCCTCCTGCCTCAGCCTTCTGAGCTGCTGGGATTACAAGTGTGGCTAGAGGTGATTTTTAAGTAATACAATATGTGAAAGCATTTAGCTTTCCTGTGATTGTTAGCTCCTCCTAACTTTTCTAGACTTGATGAAAATTTATAGAGTTTTTTTTTCATACTAATATTGTAAGTCAATTATTTCAGGCTCAAGGAATTGCCTGTATCTTAAATCCTTAGCATTTCTTCTTTCGACTAGTGTAAATGCTCTTTGCTGTAAAAAAAAAAAAAAAAAAAAAAAAGTGGTGCTACTGTCATGTCACAGTTGCAGCTTTTGTTAAATAACAGCAAGTGTTGCTGTCTGTTAGTGTCAGAAGAGGGAAGATCAGATTGCATGGTCTCTGATGTAAGTTGGAAAGAAGGTGAACATGCAGCCCATCGATTAAGAAAAGCTTTGGATGTTGTGGTGTGTTATGTTTTTGTTGTTGTGACCAAAATACCTGACCAGAACAACTTGGAGGATGTAAATTTTATTTTGAGATCATGATTTCAGAGGTTCAGTCCATGGTTGGATGATTCAGTTCTTCTGGGGCCCAGATTAGATAGAACATCAGGGTGGAAGGGCATGGTGGAGGAAAGCTGCTCACCTCCTGCTAGTCAGGAAGCAGAGGGAAAGTGAGAGGATCCAGAAACAATATGTATAATCCTCAAGGCATGCCCCCCAGTGACTGACTTCTTCTAGCCATGCCCCACCTGCCTACAGTTACCACTCAGTAGTTCAGAGTATTTTATTTTCAAATATTAATTCAAATAATATATTCAAATTATCAATCACATGGATTAATCCACTGATTAGATTATGACCCTCATGCATTAACATAGGAGCTTTTGGAGGATATCATCCAAACCATAACAGGTGGGGACTAGTGTGGTTATTAAGTCATGGTGTCCACTGATAGCAGCTGATTATGTAGGCTTTATTAACTAGGAATATGGGGCACATTCCTCATAGATCATGCTCTACTCCACTTAGGGCATCAGCTCCTAAACTGAGGCAAGGGCACCCCTAGTTTCACCAACCAGTTCCTTTATTCTCTATCATGTCAGCTACTGAATCTTGTCAGTTTTTCTTTTGAAATGCCTCTGAAATTTTTTCTTGTAATAAAAAGTTATTTTATGACAAGTATGAGGACTGTCACATATAAATACTGTAATACAGTAAGAAATAGATACTTGGTCTTTGTCTCAGGTTCCTAGCACAGAATTCTAAAAACCCTTGGAATCTCCACAGTCATGAGTGTCTTTTGTCCTATAATGAGATTACTGCTAGCTCCAGGCCCCTATGTAGCTTCAGGGTGGAGCTGGTTATTCAGAAGATGCAAGGCATGATTAGAGAATTTGAATTTTCAGCCCCATTACTGACTAGCAAGGAGAAAGGGGCTGAAGATTGAAGAATCTGCACTAGAAGCCCTAACTAAAAGGTATGTAGAGCTTCTGGGCTGGTGAACCCATAGAGTGACTGAGTGGTGTGACTGGAGAGGGCATGGAATTCCGCACCCTCCCCCAGTTCCTTCTCTCTGCACCCCTTCCATTTGGCCGTTTCCAAGTGTGTGCTTTATAATAAACCAGTAAGTAAACTGTTTCTTGAGTTCTGTGAGCCAGTCTAGCAAATTCTTGAACAGGACCAAGGGGTCATGGGAACTGACTGGTTAGAAGTACAGGTGGCCACCTGGGGCTTGAGAATGGTATCTGATGTGGGGCAGTCAACTGTGGGTTGTGCCAACTCCAGGCAGTGATATTGTTGGTGGCTGGAAAATTAGAGAATCGATTGGTGTGAGGAAAAAACCCATACATTTGCTGTCAGAAGCTTTGTGAGTAAAAATAGTGCAAGTAAACATGAAACTATGAATATACATGAACTAAGTTTTTCCTCACCATAAAATAATAGCTATATTCACTCTTGTGACTGCAAAAATTAAAACACGTCTTATTAGGGATTAATGAAATATGGAATTAGGTAATTGGTTTCCTGTTATCTGACTTTTATATAAATTCATTTACTTTTCTATTTAAAACCGAAAACCTAAACCCAGCAGGGACAATAAACAAGTACCTGTTCTCAGTATTTTGCTCTTCTGCATTTCTACCTGCTTCCTGTCCCTCCATCTTCTAATATGGAGAAAAACACAAGACCTCTCACTGCTGTGTTCCTTTAATCCTATTGCTGCTTTTTCTTTCCTTGTTGCTTTAGTTATGTTTTTATTTCCTAAAAGTATTCTGCGGATTTGCCTCTTGACCTTTTCATTGATTCATTTTAATTGTTTTGGCAGAAAAGAGCAAGTTAGCGTCCTGTATCAAAACATCAACATTGTGGAGCCAAGACTAATTCAGCCATATGAACATGTGATCAAGAACTTCATCCATGAGATCAAACTTCAAAGCACAGAAATGGAAAACCTGGCCATTGCTGTGAAGAGGTATGGAAGTTCATTCTAAGTGGCACTAAGGCTCCTCTAACTCATTCTCTGGTGTGGGTAGCAAATGAACTGAATTGATATAGGCCATAAACAAACCAGCACAGGGTAAGTTGAGCCAGGCAGTGATTTATTGGGTCAACCATCAATGTATCAGTAGGTCATTGTGATCCTATTATATCAACTGTTCAGGACCAATGATTCCATATGGAGCAATTCAGAGATTTATCTTATCTTATCCAGCCCCTTGAAGCACACAGAGAATTTCATCCATTTGAAGCCTGGCCTTATTACAGATGTAAGACCTCATGGGAAAGTTACCTAATCTTCCCAAGTCTCAGTTCCTGCATTTCAAAATGAGATTGAAAAATATTCACAGCCTCAGGGTGTTGCGCCTCAATAGATGGTGTCATGGTTGGAGCCCCTCACAATATGCCTACCACATGTAGGTGCTCAGCAATGATGGTTTCCCTCTCCCTAACCTTCCTCAGTCAGCCCTCTCCCTGAACTGAAAGCCAAAGCGCTGTTTAAACTCATCCTGTCATACGGAGAGTTCATGTAAGCCATGGCTTTCTTACATAGGGTATCCTCTTGTTTAAACAGCAGTTCAGTGCAAAATAAGAATTTATGTATCACAATCCAAACATCTGCTCTTTGCTCCCCAGAAGGACCACACTCTTCAGCATATGTTGGGAAAGAGGGGGCATCCTGTTTGTCACAGTTCCTGGGTATCCTATTCCATAGCACCCTGCTGCTCTCTGCCTAGAACTTGTAAACACAGCCCTTTTGATAGCATGCTGCCCTGCCTGCCTGGGTGCAGGTGAAGCTACAGGCCCTCAACATAATGCTGAAACTATCTGAATGAGCCTTTGGAGTAACTGGAGGGGATTATTATATAGGAGGAGAAATTGTTTTAAAATTATAATACTAAATAGAACTGTTCTTATAGTCCTAGAGTCAAGCAAAAGTTGAACTATTCACAGGGGGTTTCTTATGAACATTTTCAAAATGTACCTAGCCCTGATCTTTGCCTTTAGGTTTGACTTCTAGGGGGCTTTCAAGAGGGTGATCCTCAGACTCCAGATTCTGTAGTGCATCCTGGAGTTTGGACCAGAGCCACAGTTTGCCTCCTTTGAGGCATGATAAGCAGATGCATTGATTCTTGAGAGTGTCTACTGTCTATTAAACACTCACAATCACGTTCACATATGTGCATGTACAGACCCACACAAAGATATGTGTCACATATTTTCACAAGCGTGCACCCTTTAAAGATTCATCATGTAAACTGAAAAGGGAAGAGAAAAGGATGCCTTTCTTTGTGTTCTCACTGCCAGCCAGGCTGCTCTATCAAGGTGGAGTGAGTCTATCATGTTGTGCTGAGCTGTTTGTGTTCGTGTTACTCTCCTCCTGACTTCTGTGTTCTCTCAGAGGGGCGATATCTGGAGTTAGGCTCTTTCTGCAGTCTCCTAAAGGCCCCTCTTTTGCTATGAGAGGCCTCACTGATGTGCTTGAGTGGCTGCTTGTGAACCATCCTTTGCAAGCACCTCCACTCTCTCCTCTGCTTTTAGCTGAATGTGTGGTGGCGGGGGGTGGGGGTGGAGATGTCGTAGTAATTTTGCTTTGCACTTGTACTTGAAGGATGAGCTCCCAGTGACCAGGTGACAGTGGACAGTCCTAGCACACTAGACATTTTACTAGGAATTAGAAATTGCTAGGCAAAAAGAGTCATCATGTAATACCCTGATTTATACACTACGTGTGCACGTGTACACACTCACACACACCCTCACACACACACACACAAATACACACAGAATGAAGAAAGGCAGAGAAAACATTTCCTGAGAAGTTCTAGATGTTTGGAATTTGATATCTAGAAGGAATAGCTGGAAAAAAAATGATCATAACAAAGGGAAAAAGGCATGTAACCTTGCTATTTACAATATAGATTTGGTTTTTAATTTGATTGTGATGGAGATGCCTAAGTTCTAGACTTCAAGTAGCAAATATTTATAAATAGAACTAGTTAGCTTTCCAAACTTGGTCAACTCAACCCTGGGCAAGCTGTATGATTAGGAGGAAGTAAACAAGAGCAGAAAATGATAATGTTTCTCAGAATGTACTTTGGATTCCCGACACTTGTCTGTAGTTGTACATAGAAGTTAAACTAATAAACAAAGTGTGCTGTGAGAGAGTAAATAATTCAATAATATGGTAGTATGTTATAGCATTCTCATCAAACTAGAAAGAAGATGGGTGATCTTATATAAGTTCTGTCCTCTACTCTTTATTAACAGCATGCCATTAGTTCAAGGGAATTGACTCTCTAAGCCTTATGGTGGTTGCTGTCCGGTCACTTGTAATCTAGTTGGGAAGACAAGGCATTATGCAAGTGAAAAGCTAGATAGTTAGATAGGCAGCTGAGAGGACAAAAGAAAGTGTAAGTTTTTAAAATCTTAAACTTCAACCATCAATCAAGTGACAGGTATGTCCGTACTAGACAATTTCTAGTAAATAAAATAATCCTGGAATGCCTCTCACTGAAATTTTTTCCATTTATAACTTTTTGGCAAATAAGTGTCTTTTGTCTCCATAGAGAGATGATTTATTAATTGCATTAATAAAAGAAACAAAAATTTTCTACATGGCAACCTTATCTACATTCTAGAAGTTTGGCAAGGAGCTGATGAGAAACAATTGCTGAAACCTCTTCTATTCCCTTTTCACTTTAGCATATAACATTGTGAGTTTCATATAATGAAAATTTAAAATCATAACCATTTTTTTGCCATGGAGTTTGTTTTTTTTTTTGTTGTTGTTTGTTTGTTTTGTGAGGAGGGGGGCGGTTCAGGTTATAACTCAGGCATAGAAGCAAAAAGAATTTTAAGAATTTGTTGAGAGTCTCAGTGATTTGGTGCTTTTGCCACAGTCTAACTTACTATCATGTAATCAAGTTTATCTCATTTATTTAATATCTAGTCATTTTATACCTGAATGGTCACATTACAAATCTTATTTTATTACCTGGAAGGAATGGGGAATATAATTTAAAATGGGGCATTTCTCTTCACCTATAAAATAACACTGTACAGAATGGATGAGCTCGAAGGTTCTCTTCATTGTCTATTCCAAGTATACAATGAACTATTCATTGTGCCGCCTTTTGAATTTCAGAGCCCAGGACAAGGCAGCCATGCAGTTGAGTGAGTTGGAAGAGGAAATGGACCAGAGAATTCAGGCTGCAGAACACAAGACCCGGAAAGACGTGAGTTTCTGAGACTGGACATTTATTCAGCAGATCTTTATGGAGCACTTCTGTGGGTGTTGCTCCTGGACACTCCTCTCAGTGACAGGGTATAAGCACAGAAGGTTCAGGCTCCCAGCAAGGTGATTTTACTGGTGGTGGCACCTGTGGCATCATTTCTTTATCCTGCAGTGAGAGCACACATGGCTAGCAAGTTGCTGCAGGCATGTGGTCTCTGCAGCCACAGTACACCAGTCCAGGAACTCACAGGACCTCACTGTGCTTTGACACTGGAAGGAAACCTATTGGCCAGCCTGTCCCAACAGCCACTTCACACTCTTCTAGTCACAGTCCCTCTGGAACGTTATGTCCTAGCTCACTAAAGATTTTCCCTAACATTCCTCCAGTCACCATGGCTCTCCGAAGCTCCCTGGGGTCTTGGTTCAATGGCATCACTGCTTAGGGCTCTGCTTTTGCTCCAGCCATTTTCTTAGCCTTGGTGATTGTTGTCCCATTCCTTCCCACTTTGCCAAAATGCAAAGCTCAGATAAAGTCGCAGCTTCTTGATGCCCTGCCCTAGTTCTCCAACCACATTCATCTTTTCCTGACCTTGATGGCAATTGTATGTAGAGGGTGTATTGCATTGTTTCATGTTCTTATTTTTTTAATATTGTTAACAGCTTTATTGACATATACTTGGCATGCAATAAACTTCATAGAATATTTAAAGTGTAGAACATGCAAAGTTTGCATCGTCACACAAAACATCTGTGATGTTTCTATTAACCATAAAAATTTCTTTATGCCCCTTACTTAACAACCTTCCTTCCCTGCTTCTTTGTCCCTCCTCGCCAGGAAACCACCCTTTTGTTTTTTTGTCACCAAAGATTAGTTTGAAGTTTTGAGAACTGCATATAAATGGAATTTTGCAGTATGAACTATTTCTTGTCTGACTTCTACTCAGTGCAATTATTTTATAACCCTGATATATTATATTGCCATTTATCTATATTCTTTTTATATGTGGTGGTATCCCATTTTGTGATCATATCCACAGTTTGTCTATCCATTCATTTATTGAAGGACACTTATTTCCAGGCTTTGGCTATTGCAAATTAAGGTGCTATGAATATTCATATATAAGAACTTATGTAAGCATATACTTTGATTTCTCTTGAGTAATTTCCTAGAGTGGAATAGTTTGATCATCTGTGTAGGTATATGTTTATTTGTTTAAGACACTGACAAACTGATTTCCCCAGTAATTGTACAGCAGTGTATGAGAACGGTGTCCTTTAGCATTGGAATAGGTGTATAGAGAAATTTTGTTATGCTTTTGTTTCCATTTCTCCAATGACTAATGGTGTTGAGGATCTTTTCATGTACTTATTTGCCATGTATGTAACTTCTTTGGTGAACTATAAAAATCTTTTGCTGGTTTTAAAAAAATATGTCATTTTCTTGTTACTGAGTGTTCATAGTTCTTTACATATTATGAATATAACCCCTCATCAGACACCTGACCTAGAAACATTTTCACACATTTAGTGTCCTTTCTTTTCAGTCTTCTAACAGTACATTTTGAAGAGGAGAAAATTTTAATATTGATGAAGTCCAATTATAAACTTCTTCTTTCATCAATTATGCTTTTGGCATTTTATTTAAAAAAATCTTTGATTAGCCCAAGTTACAAAGGTTTTCCCTTATGCTTTCTTCGATAAGTTTTATTGTTTTAGGTTTTACACTTAGGATCCATTTTGTTTTACATTTTGTTTTTTTATGATGAAATTTTAATTTTTAATTAAGTATACCCTATGGGCAAATGAGGATTTAGAACATTTTGTATTCTTTAATGAAGAATTACAAAGTGAATCCCCATGCACCAGAGAAATAGAACATTGCAAGTACCTTTAAAGTCTGGCTGCCATTCCCATCCCTCATTCTATAAAGATTTCTCTGAATAGTTTATTAGTGAAGTCTTTATTTTTCATTATGGTTATGTAAATATAAACAGTACATTTTACAACTTTATAAAAACAGAATTATCCTGCCTGAGTTTTTCATGGGCTTGCTGTACTTAAGTCAGTATATTGCTTACATTTTGTTTTTACATTTTGATTAGGTATTACACTTAGGATCCATGGTTTAAGATATGGTTGTTCTTTCTTTTTTTAAAATATTAATGGGGTGAATGACACTGATCATTTTTTTGAATGTTAAGACAAACTTGTATCCTATGATAAACCTTGGTTGGTTGTGATGTATTATTATTCTAATGTATTGTTGAATTCAGTTTGCTAAATTGTATTTATCATCTCTGCATGTGTATTCATACGTGACATCAGTTGTGGTTTTATTCTAGTGTCTGTCTAATTTGGGTTCAGGCTGATGTCCGTCTCATAGAATGAGTCTTCCTCCCATGTCAGTTTGTGAAGAGCTGACTGGAACCACCACCATTTCTTACCTACATCATGTAATAACTTGTCCCAGCATCTGCCTGTTGTAGATGGGGAATGACATAAAGTAGGTAGAAATGATTTTCTTTATTTAGCTCTGAGTCAAAGAAGTATCTTTAAGCTATAGAGGTGATAGGTTTGGTTTTATAGCCATGGATCCAGTGAAGAAACTTGCATCCAAGTTGGTTTCTATGTCGGAGATGCTGCCTGCATTAACACCTCCTTGTAAGGCTTTGGCGTCTCCATCCACCTGTGAAATGAGCAGTACTTATTGTACAGGTGGATAAAGATAACTCCTTAAAAAATTAGTTGCCGTTAGGGAAAATGTTGTTCTTCAGTTCAGTCTTTCACATAGATTATTTAATTTCCATGGATTATTCAATTTATGCAGATCATTTAATTTTCATTGGAGTGTTTATTTAGATTATTTAATTTATGGGGGTTATATAATTTATATGGATTATTTAATTTATTTGAATTACTTAATTCTCACAGTCATGCAATAAGGAAATGGAGACATAAGGTAAGTAGTTTGCCCAACCTTAACTACCAGTAAGTGAGTAGTAAGACCCTTGAACTCCGGCAGGTATCCACATGTGGGATCATGCATCTCTGCAGAGAGGTATGACCACACCCCCATGAAACTGGCTTCCTGTCACTTCTTGGCCCTGTGTCACAATGTTAACAGTCTTAAAGGTGTCACTTCAAGGTGGTGTGTGCATGTGGATCTTGAGATTTCTTCCATATCTGTAGGTTTTAATTCCAGACCCTCTGCACATCTCAAGCCATCTGGTTTCCTCCTGCAATCTCTCTCACCCTCCCTGTGTAGGACAATTGAATTCAGCTTAGTGCTTCTCACTTATGGGCTTTTGGCTTTTGAAGGCTGTTATTGTATAAGGCTAAGCCTATTTAAATAAACAATTTTTTTTTTCTTTTAGGAAAAACGCAAAGCAGAGGAAGCCCTCAGTGATCTCAGACGTCAGTATGAAACAGAAGTAGGAGACCTTCAGGTTACCATAAAAAAACTAAAGAAGGTAGGTATGTGGCAACTTGACTTCCAGGATCAGCCTCAGCATCTCAGTGTTTCCATAATTAAGAATTCTAATTATAAATTGTTTTTTGTGTGAAGAAGCTGTAAATATGCTACTCTTACAAATGAGTTCCAGAGAGGACAAATAACTTGATCAAAATTACACAGCTAATGACTGATGGAGTCATCTTACTGCAAGTTGTGCCTTCTCATTTATACCAGACTTCCTGCCTACCTGGTATGGTTATTATATGAAAAAACAAGATGATTCATGTGACAGTATGTTAAAGGCAATAATAAAATCATAGAAATGCTTACACATTTATTATTGCCATTAATTTATGTCATTGATTCTGAAAAACTCATTTCCCCCCATAACTTTTCTTCTGCAAAGTCAGAATGCATGTAAAACTCAGTGTTCTTCTCAGTCACAAGCAACCATGTGGCAGTCATGATGTAGTTGTGTAAAAACCTTCCATTGATATCATCTGTCAAGATGAAGAAAATCCAGAGCTGAAGTGCTTACACTTTATCAGATGTGAGATATATTTTGATCAAAGTATAGACATTCCAGAAATGCACATCCACAAATCCCCTCCATTTCAGGAGATGGAAACTCTTTATAGAAAAGACACTTTTGCTCCCCAGGTTGTAGATGTTCCTGAACCAGTTTAGTCTAGTAATACTAATGAGTCAAGCAGTAAGCACAGCTCATGTATGCATTTACACAATTGTGCATGTGAGAGTGTGTGTGAGAGTGTGTTTGTGTGTGTGTCTATCTTCATATCTTGCTTACATGTTATTAGTTTCAGTTATTTAATAAATATTTCTTGAATTCACCATGATGAAAACATAGGTGAATCTGACTCTAACTCTGCTCTACAAAAATCTTAGACTTTAGTTGGGATGGGAAGACATTTATAAAACAATTACCATGCAGCATAGGAAGTGTTACATGCAGAAAATGGAAGTGTCCAGACTCAGATGCAGCATAATTGAACAAAGCAAAGACTGGATTGCTTTATAGTTGAGTGGTTTCCAAAATAAGACTTTCTCACTATTTCTAAGAAAATTAATTTAACAACAAAACCTCTTTTTCAGGCGTTTAAGATAAATATTTTAACTCTTTATGGATTCTATGTCATTTAATGATGTATAAAGTCATATATAATGTTGAAAATTGAAGAATTCCCATATCTCTATTCAGGGATATTCCTAAACTTAATTCAGTTGACAGTAAATTTGTGAAGTTACAGCTTTTATATGTCCTTTCAGCTTGAAGAACAATCAAAACACATAAGTCAAAAAGAAGACATAGCAGCATTAAAAAAACAAATTTATGATTTATCAATGGTAAGAATCACCTTTTCACTTTCAAAATTACATTTCCTGCTAGACAACATAGACATAATCACGCGATTATTTCAGTGCTTTAGGAATGGGAACTTAATGAGAAATTGATACCATAGTTAGAGAAAGTTTTTAAAGTACTTTTGAGCAAAGGTGTTATATATGCAGATTTTTCCCTTCAGCAATATGCCATTTATTATAAATGGTTTTATTTATTTTTATTTAATAAAGACATGGGGGTTAAACTTTACCCAGCATAATAACCCATTTTTTTGTCATCGACTCTACTTCATAGCCCTGGTGTTGTAAGACGAGATGCCCTGAACTTCCTCCAACTGTTCTCTTTCTCCCTTTTCTATCTCTTCACCACCAGATCTTTACTTTTACTGCTGCAAAAATTGATAACATTTATATCTGTTGTGTTACCATTACTAATCTTGGATTTTTTGGTAAGCATTTCTTGGATTTTTATGATTGAGTTCCTGGTTTCATATAAAAAGAAATCCTGCTGTCTTCATAATATCATTGATACATTAAGACTTCTTATTTATTTTCTTAGTGTATAGAATTTGGTTCATTTTTTCTCTTAATAATATTAATTTTGGAGTCCATGAAATTTTAGATTTTATGGGACTGACCTTTTTTAAAACTTGCAATCTAGCCATGTGCCATCCTAGAATTTATTTTCATAGGATTCTTCCTTGAATTTTGTATTTCTTTGTATTTTGCATATTACAAATTCCTTCCTATGGGTCGTCATTCTCATTTTGCTATAGTCCATTCTTAAGAGAAGCTTCTCCAGAAAGGATATGTGAGAGATACATTTTCTCATTTTTAGAATATTTGAGCATGTATAATTTCCCCTCACCATTTGTTGAGAGTTTGTCTAGATAAATAAGATTTTTTGGGTCTCTTCTAGTATTTATTGTTTGTTTTTCCCCCACACCTGGGAATCCTTGGTCTTAGTTCTCATTTTGACGTGAAGGATTAGCTTGATCATCTTAGGCAGGTGGTGGGGAGTCCTGTGAAGCTATGTAAACAGATCTGTTAACTTCAAAGTGTCTCCCCTAAGACAGTGTTACCTAGGAGCTCAGTGTGTGAAGCTGGCTGTCATGCTGTGAGACCCCAGTTCCCAAAATAAGTGGGTTAGGGATATTTAGGGAGCATCTTTAGCATTCCTAAAAGCAGTCATTCAATTATTTTAAATAAATCATCTGTCTTGTTGCCCTGGAAATCTGTCTGTTGCTATTCTATACTATGGTAAGGGAGGGAAAATACTTGAGTGTGGGTGCCTTAATATACAATTTTAATCTCTATTTCCAGCTTTACTTCTCATTCCCATTTTCTGGGTTTGACCTAGTCATTTATTTGCCTCCTTTTGTGTTCTACAGAAGAACCTTCAACATGTTTCTTTTATACAGCTGTGTCCATTTTTTGGTTACTATAACAAAATGCCAAAGACAGACTAACTTTATAAAAACATTTATTTAGCTCACAGTTCTAGAGTTCTAAGGTCATTGCATTAGCATCAGCTCTCCTTTTTGGTGAGGACCTCATGGCAAATGGCAAGAGCAAGTGTGACAGGGAGAGATCATATCACCAAACAGGAAGCTGGAGAACAGCAGCTGAGTCCCAGAATCCTTTCTGAGGGCAGCACCCCCAGTTGACCTGAGGGGCTCCACGAGGCTCCACCTCTTAAAGGTTCCATACCCTCTACACCACCAAACTGGGGACAAAGCTTCCATTTGTGTAACCTTGGGGTACCCAGATTATATTGAGGCCATAGCAAGCACTTTTCCCTAACTGTCTTCCTTTCAGAGCACATTTTCATCCAATTCCTTTTTCCATAAATATAAGTCACTTGACTGCTGATGGCCCCTCTTCCATTCCCTTAGATGTCACCGGTTCATTTCCTCTGGTATTTCATGTTATTGGGATTTCAGAAGGAAAAAGAGAAGCTTATGTTCTCATCCACTGTCTTGAACTGGAAGCCTCCCACGATTTTTTTAAGTGAAGAGTGTAGAAATTTCCTAACCAATACTCGTTAGAGTATACAACTTAAGGTTATGTGATAGGATTTATTATAAAAAATAGCCAATATGCCTGGTAATTGGTGCAATAAATTTCACAGAATGTTTGTCAGTAGTTTTATAGCTCTTACTAAGTAAAGCAGGTGTTTAAATGTTTGGTCTCAGTTAATTTTCCAATAGCGTGTTAACGTACATCATGATAAACTCTTGACTATTGTAGTTTTCTAACAAGTGTCAAGTATTAAAAGGAAGAAGGATTTTGAGGGTTTAGATATTTGACACTTTAATAATTTATAATAATGTCAAATTACCTTGAATAGACAGTTAATTCTTTGAAGAGCAAGATTTGAAGAACTGGGAAAGGATAAGAGTAACATGTGTAAGGGTTATATTATACTTGGCTTCATTTCTCCCAGGAACAAGAAACTCTCAATCTAATGCCCCACCCTATTCCTTTGTCTAGGAAAATCAGAAAGTTAAGAAAGATCTTTTAGAAGCACAGACAAATATAGCCTTTCTTCAGAGTGAACTAGATACTTTGAAAAGTGATTATGCTGACCAGAGTCTAAATTCTGAGAGGTATGAAACTTTGCATTTTATTTTTCAGTTTGGATGGAATATTTTTTGAGGTGATTATCAAGGGGGGTTGAAGCTTGGCTATGTGATCTATGCAATAATAAAGGGTTTTGCATTAACTTTGCTGATGTGTTCTATAATATCTAAGGATTGTACTTTGAGTGATAGATTTCCTAAGTTTTGTGTATTGGTGTGTTTAATTAAAAGAAATCAGATTAATTGTTTGAATTAGTGCCTGCTTAGGACAGTGCAGGGCTTAATAAAGTTTGTATCAACCAGGAGCTAGAAGAATATACCTAAAGTATCAAGAGTCTATGCTTGTTAAAATGCTTTCCCAGTAGGAATCCTGGCCTACAACACAAGAACCACAAGAGTAGTCCTCTTAATTTTGTTTTTCTATGCTTTTGTTTTGCAAGCTGATATTAATAACATAAAACCTAATAGAAAGAGATATGTTTATACATAAAAGGTATAAACATTTGGGGAAAATGTTTTTTGTTTGCAAACTTTAATCAGAATTAAGTTCTTGTAATAGAAAACAACAAAGCATTTATTAAGTATGTTATATATAGATCCTTAGATCTAGAGGAGTTTTAAGTTTGGATATATAAAATAAAAGATAAAGATAAGATCTCTGCTTTTTAAGAACTTCAAATTTAGTTGGGAAAACAAAAAAGTTTGCAGAGGTAAACAACGTAAGAACTAAACAGTGTTGGAATCAATACTACTTTCAGTGCCATGTTTGGGGTTAACTGCCATGTGATCACAGAAGAAATTTTCTTTTTATTCAATCTTCATTAAAGAGGATACACGAGGCTAGGCAGGTGGAAGAGCAGGTTTGTGTCGTCAAGGGCAAAGAGGCATCAGTGATAACAACTAAAACCGGTAGCAGTGCTGTCTGCCAGGTGCTGTCTTTTGTACTTATAGTACTACTCAGTCCACTAGGGACCTTCCTTATCTCCATTTTATGGATGGGAAAAGAGAGTCTTGGAGATGTCCCAGGTAAGGCATTGAGCAAACCAGAACATAAGAGAGGAATAAGACTGGTTAGGGGAAAAGCAGACAGACAAAAAGAGATAACTTTGGTTGGAAAAATGAAAGTTTAAAAACAAAACATGAAAAAGGCTATACTGTAAGGACCCATAATTTTTGTCTAAGGGACTTAAATTCTTATAGACAACCGGGAAACTTTTAGCTTTATCACCTAGGGAGTAACTAGATTGCTTATTTTGGAGAGAGTTTGATGGCCTAAGAGGTTTGGGAAGCTACTGATGGGTTTGTCTGCGTAACAATGGTACAGTCTGAAGAGGAAGTCAGGGCTTCTGTAATTAAAGCAACAGGGATTGCAGTGTGTTTCTCTCATTAGCCCAGAAAGCCAGGTTCTGTAGATTCCCCTGTGACTTAGAGTGAGTAGGAGGGTCAGAGCAGGTACTCAGGATGAGGTGGGAAAGGAGGAAATAAGAGGAGCTGGGATTAGATAAGGCTTGGAGAGGGCAGAGAAGGTTCTGAGAAGGATTGAAGATTAAAGTACCATTACTTTCCAGAAAGGGAACTTTTTACCATGACTGCCGAGAAGAGGGGACTCCAGGGCAGAGTTCAATCCCAATGAGAAACAGAGGCAGGCCAGAGAGTGTGGGGCAGGAAGAGCTGGGGGGTGCTGAGCAATGGGTGAGGAGGGGAAGCTCCACATTTATGATGTCAGATATGGGGCAGAGCTTTGCACAAGGAAGCACAGGTTGTGGGTGAGCCCATAGAGGCTGGGAAGGACAGGAGGCTGCTGACACTATAGGGCACAGAGCAGGAGGACTGGGAGAGAGAAGATGGTGGTCAAGGACACATGACTTTTGAAAGTCCAAAAGGACCTGGGAGGTTAGGTATAGATCAGGCAGGACTTGATACTAATTCTTATTTCAACACAAAGTATAATTTTACAGGGATCTGGAAATAATCCGAGAATACACAGAAGATCGAAATAGTCTTGAGAGGCAAATTGAAATTCTCCAGTAAGTTCTCATATAAAATGCTCATTGCACTTGCATTTTAGTTATTTTTTGTTAATAACACACATGCTGCGTATTATATGATTTGCCATATTCCATAGTCCAGATGGACTTGAAGGTCAGTGTATGTTTCTTCTCACTGTGCTGCATTCATCATGTCCACTCAATTTCTGAAGCGTTTAATCCTAAATAAATTATTCAAGTGCAGGGAACAGAGCATAGTTATAAATAGTCTTGCAAGTTAGGTGGTATGTTTAGCATGTCTTATTATGCCTCTGTAATGAGCAATGACCCTGACCTCAGCTTTCTTTGCAGCTCTGCACACAGAGCTTGTCAGCCTTTCACATTGGTGAGTGTGAGTGACACAAGAAAAAGCCTATGTCACTATTCTTTCTCAATTTATTATGTTTATTTAGAGGTATATTTTTCTTAGTTGTTTGTTTTATTCCTCTTCCCAAGAAATGCTCTATCTATTCTGTCAACTTCATTACTGCACTTCAGTAATTTCATTTCCTGACACCTTTCCCACAAAACAGTGACCTTCTCTTCCCCTTTCATCCTTTTCCACCTCTGCAGCATTCTGTTTTCAGTTTACCAAATGAAGTAATGTCAAGATTGACAAGGTGTTTCCTTCACCATTTTTGAATATTTTTTAAGTCTTACCTGCAAAATTGTGGAGTCCATAAATTTGTCCACCATCCATCCATTCATTCATTCATTCAGTAGATTTTTCAGTCAGCATTTTTTATGGGTCAGATATGCCAGAAGCTGTGGATAGAGTATCAAGTAAGAGAAAAAAAAATCTCTTCTTATTGGACTAGTCTAGAGAAGAAATGTGGAAACTGGTTGATAGAAATAAATACAAAATACCATGTGAGAGAATGGATAATAAAGGAAAGTTGCTTATTTCCTAAGGGAGCTCTGGCCTGCCCAAGAAAGTCAAAGATCTGTTCTTGGAGGAAGTGATAATTGAACTGAGCAAAAATGAAGTGGCCATAAGCAGGGAAAATTAGCCACTCTGTGAGGCAATAGTTCTGTTCCTCATTTTGTAGCTGGGGAAGGCTCTGATGCGAAGGGCCTTTCATCGGGTCTTATGGAAGTACTTCAGTTAGGATTTGAATCCAAATCTGTCTGAGATCAGGATCCAAGTGTTTACTTGGTACACAAGTCCTACTATTCCATGGGTAGGTTGAAGGAGTAGCCAAGAGGATAATGTATCCATGCCTGGCCATACCTGGCCACTGGGATGTGTGAACTGGCTGTCTGGGTTCAGGCATTTGGGAAACAGGGACCTGCATGAAATAAACAGGAAAGGTACCTGAAGGAAGAGCAGATTCTACCTCTTAGCTAATTCATTTCTAAAATACCTTAAGATATTTAACAGAGATAACTAATAAGTTGTTGTATTTCAGATATTGAATTGTGATCTCAGATTCTGAGGTTTGAAGGGGAATGGGAGAAAGCTGCAAAGGGTGACAAGTAGTTCTACATTCTGAACATCACTGACTAAAGAAAGTGCTAATACAGATCCCCACTAACACTTTGCCTATCTAGAACAGCTAACCGGAAGCTGCATGACAGTAATGATGGCCTCAGGAGTGCCCTTGAAAACAGTTACAGCAAATTCAACAGATGCTTGGTATGCCATATCATTTTGTAATTCATTTTGCTAGTGATTGAATAATTTGGAAGTGGTGAAATCATGCAATATCTTAATGGAGAATTTCACATGGATCTTAAAATGAGAAAGCTCAAGAAGCTCTTTCCAAAAAATACAGAGAGCAGTTTTCTAAATTAAAAATATGCTACCCATCTACAGAAATAAATGCCTTGGTGTTAACCAATTCTTAAGTTTCTAAGAAACTAGAGAAAGACATATATGATCTTTGACCTGGAAGAGTTTATAATGTAACAGATAGTTAAGATGTATACATATGGGTAGCAATAATATATGAAAAAGTAGGGAGGCTCATGGTGTTAAAAATATTGTTTTGCCAATTAAGAGGAGCAGAATCACTAGGGGGTGAGTTTAGACATGTTGAGTATTCTTTATGATAGGGAGAGCATCAGATTGACAGTTATTTGTATGTGTGTATAAAATGTTTGTATGGAATATTAAAAATGTATGTATCTAAGTGCATAAATAACCTATCACCAGGAAAATGATTCCAAATGCTCCTACAGGGTAAGCCAAGCCCCATTTGGAATTTTGAGGACCTTCCCAAGATTGCATTTGTCTTGAAGCCTCTTATTATACTTTTGAGGGTCAGCTTAAGCATAAGATTCCAATGCCATATTTGGATATTAAAGAGTAAGTCATTAAGTCAAATTATGGTTCCAGAAGAGATATGTCCAAGGAAGTTGATATTACAATGTCCTGGAAAATCTGGGTAACCTGGGTAGTCTCTGTGGAATTTGTAGTAGAGTATGATCTAAAGATCTGATGACTGTAGTCATCAACTGCAATTTTTCAATTGATTTTCATGTTCACATTTGCTCATGTAAGATACCAAACTTTCAGTTACATTAGAAGTTAAATTGTGTGTGTGTGTGTATAAAATGTTTACATGGAATATTAAATATTTATGTATTGCAGCGCATAAATAATGTATCACCAGGGAATACGATATCTAGAAGCAGTCCCAAATTTAATGGTCATTCTCTTCAACCTCTGGGATATGACAGGTATGTTAACACTTGTTTATTATTTTGAGTTTTAGATCAAAGTTAAAATGAGGAAAAATTTCCTTGAGGTGAATTAAAATAATGGAATATATTTGGGGCACTAATTTATATTTTCTATGATATTACTTTAAACTTCTAAAATGTGAACCATGTCAAAACTATAAGAAAAAATGTTTCAGAGAGTGAAAAATTACTTCCTTAAGTTGCTATGACTTGTTTTTATCCATGCCAGCCACTACCTCATCCCTAATCATGTCTTGTTTCTTAAAAATGGACTCTGAGAATTGTTTTGGAGTTACTGATATTGTGGTATATGATGTTGTGGCTATTGTCATGATCTGTCAGTGTTTAATAGGTCAGCATAATATATGAACTATTTTACAGAAAGAGGAAACTTTCAACACAGATAGAAACCTGGCCAGAGCAGGTTTATGAACTACTATATTAAAGGAGTTACAGAGAAATTCCAAACATTAGAATTTAGCCCTATTTTTAATCAAATAAAGTGAAATATTGGGCCTGTTATTTCTTGAGACTTAGTAATAACAAAGATTGCATGCCAATATGTATACCCATATGTACAGTGATGGTCATTAAAAAATTAATTTTATGCTATGTCAAAGTCTGGAAGTAGAGGTGAAAGCATGAACTAGAGGTTTCCAGCTCACAGTGTCTTTGCAACTTTGTAACTCATGTACAGCCCCTTTCATTTGGGTTCTTTTGGTATAGAGAATAATGTGCATGATATCCTGGTCACATTGCCCTTCAGGAAGGTCTGATACCAAAGCTTATTGGTGATCACTTCTAAGAGGATACCATCTAAAGATCTTGGTATAAAATCTTTTTATTGTTCACTGATTCCTTAAACAAAAATTTTAATGGTTATTGATTTATAAGCTGCTGACCACTCTGTTACTGAGAAATATAGATTTTTAAAACTATGTAATTGTGATGCATTTTTCTGGACTAATATTTCAGATCAGTTCTAAGCAAGTAGTAGGAAAGGGTACATAATGAAGAATTATGTTAGGAATTTCACCATGATTTCTCTTTGAAAGAGTAGATACCATGAATAAGGTTCACAAGTACTGAGAACTCCTCCACACTGTGTTCTGAGGGACAATATCATCATATCACCAGGGCCTCAGAGTGACAGAGTGTTAGACTTTCATTGCTGTGACCAAAATACCTAACAAGAACAATTTAGAGGAGAAAACATTTATTTTGGCTCATGTGTTCAGAGATTTAGTCCATGGTCAGCTGAGTCTATTCTGGGCCAAACTGAGGCATCATAGCTGAAGGGCATGGTAGAGGAGCACTGCTTTGTTCATGAGAGATTGGAAGCAGAGAGAGGAAGGAGAAGGGGCTGTGAGGAAGGTGCACCCTTCGGGGAAGGCAGCAATGTAGATCTCAAGTGCTCATCGTGTCGAAACAGAACTGGAGGCCATCATTGTCTGCACTTTTGTTCCTTTCTGGGGTGTAATTAATTTGATATGTGAAGTTTTATTAATATCATATTTTCTTTTTGATACTAATGTAAAAACTTAATAAAAGCTTGTTATATGTTACATGTTATAGTTTGTGTAGCTTTATTTAATTTTAAATTGCAAGTTTGTTTTGGTCTTGTGTTTTTGTAAGAACTATAAACAAAAAAACTCATTTCATGATTTTTTACATAGCTAATTGTAATGAAAATCTCAGGGCTGGTAAGAGTGGTTTACTTTATTTGAGTTTGTGAAAATCCAGTTGGCATCTTTGTTTTTAATTTAGAGATTAGATATTCATGAGATAATCTCTCAATTCAGGATTTTGCTTATTTTTTTTTTGCCCCTTATCAAAAATAGAAATACGTTAAGAAAAAAAAGAGTATTAATGAAGAATGGAACTGAAGTAGTTAGTACTACATTAGAATAAAAAAAAGTTTTTTGTTCCTCATAGATTGACCTAAATGCAATTTCAGAAGAAGAATTTTATAAATTATGAAACAGTGCAAAAATACATATACACATACACAATATACACACCTGGCTAACTACATAAATTAATATCTTATATGAAATTCCTGTATTAGAATAAAGATGTTATACTTTCACAAGTATTGAGAGAGAATGGTGGTTAAATCACCTTTTTAGTTAATTTTAAAATTTTGCTAATGGCTTAAAAATGTTTTTGTCTCCTCAGGTTTACATGCTTCTACTCATTTATATTAAGATCAACCTTTCTCTTCTAAGTATATCTTATCTCTTCTTATTTCTCCCATTTGAAGACCATCTACCCTTCCCAATCTCCTTTGCCATAAGTCATGTAGGCAGAGTGCTAGAATGGTGCATGGGCATGTGGTGGGAGTGCTAAATAAATCACAGCCATTGTTTTATTTCAAAATGAGCTTTGATTCTTATGAAAAAGGTATAGCTAAGTAGGAAAGTTTGCAATTTCTTTGAATTATCTTGCTTGATGTTAGTTTTTCCCTCACTCATAAAATATTAGATTTTCACAAATGGAAGGATCCACTGAAGTAAGAAATTCTAGGTTTGTCTGATGAAGCATCTTCTAAAAGGGGGCCTTTCCAGCAAATGTGTCAACATGGAGTGACAGAAAACTCATCTCATGTCAGAGCATTCTGGTAGCACACATTTCTCATTGCCTGTCATTTTCACCATGTTGATCAGAAATCTGACTCCCAGAAAGTTTATCAGTTGATCCTTATTTTGTCTTATGCAACTTTAGAATACTTAGAAGAGTACTCCTTCATTTGTCCTCTCTTGAAGTATTTGAAGAGAAAACCCATCAAGATTTGAGTACAGTGAATTAGTCCATGTATCTGAGGCAAATTATCCAAGCCTGGTTTTTAACATCCCCTTTAAATAGAGATGTTGTACAAAAACAGAGACACTATTCAGAATATGGTCTTGATCACATTGAAGTGAAAGGCTCACGTTCTATGTCCATTTTTATTGATGTGGCTTGAGATTGCATGTGGATCTCTTTTATATCAGGAAACAAAGAAGGTGATTTTAAATGTTTTATTTCAGGTTCTTTATCTTACTTGATTGTTGCATACAATTAACTGATGTTGCTTATTTTGGGGGGTACTAAGTATTGAACTCAGGGACACTTGACCACTGAGCCACATCCCCAACCCTAGATTTTGTGTTTTATTTAGAGACAGGGTCTCACTGAGTTGCTTAGTGCTTCGCTTTTGCCAAGGCTGGCTTTGATCTTACAATCCTCCTGTCTCAGCCTCTCAAGGCACTGGGATTACAGGCATGTGCCACCACACCAGATGCTATGTTGCTTTGAACATTTCATTTCCCTGATGCTTCATCATGGCTCTTGGAAATTGAAGATGCTGGTATTCTTGACCCCATCCCTGACAGTCTGTCACCTGTGCATTTTTGAGAGTTGCAAGCTTCCAGGTAAAACAGTTTCTTCTTTCATTACCAGGTCATCCCGCTCTTCGTATGTGGATGAGGACTGTGACTCATTGGCCCTCTGTGATCCTATGCAAAGGATGAATTATGAAGTTGACAGCCTGCCTGAGAGCTGCTTTGACAGCGGCTTGTCTACCCTGAAAGATCCCAATGAGTACGACTCTGAAGTGGAATACAAGCACCAGCGGGGATTTCGGAATTCACAGAGGGTGCAGGAGAACTGTGCGGGTGACGCTTCAGACATGGATGTAAGCTGAGAAACCACTGCCCTCCAAGGCCTGCCTTTGATTGGATTGTTTCACCATCTTCGACTTGTATCTGTCATAAGAATCTGTTATAAATGTCATAAACTTGAAGCTTAGTCAGTAGTGTTTTGTTTTTCCATCAAATTAGGAAGAAGTTCTCATAGATTTGCCATTCAAGGCTTCTCTATTCCATAACATCATTGGCTGTAGATTAAGCTATATAGTTTTCTTCTCTTTAATTCATGATGATATGTGTAATGAAAGGCTTTATTTTTAACCACTTTTTACAAAACAGGTTCCTGATATAAGGGATGAAGAAACATATGGTTCAGAAGGTGTGGCTTCTGTTTTAGACTGGAAGTCCCAAGGGTCTATTAGTGGAGGCAGCATAGTCAGTTCTTCAAGAAAACCCATCTCTGCTCTTTCACCCCAGGTAGGTAGCTTCCAAGACACTTCCCTTCATGAACACTAATAATTTTCTGTGCCATGGTACTTATTTAAGAAGAAAACTGGCACTACCCTTATCACCCACTGTGGCTTCTTTCCTCTAGACAGATGTGGCAGGTGATAACTCCAAGTCTGCTAGCTCACAGAAGGCTTACAAGATTGTGCTTGCTGGGGACGCTGCAGTGGGGAAATCCAGTTTCCTCATGAGACTTTGCAAGAATGAATTTCGAGGAAACACAAGTGCCACATTGGGTATGGCCCCTGACTCATTTGGTAATGGGAAGATGACCTTCTTAGCTTGGTTTTATTTTTTTTAGGGATTATATACACAAATACACAGAAACATCTCTCTCTCTCTCTCTCTGTATACTTTCAAGTATATAGTTTGTGTGTGTGTGTGTGTGTGTCCTTGTCTACAGAATGATTCTGTGTTTTGGGTAAAGTCTCACATTATTGAGGAAAACTGACAAATGACAGCAGTATCTGTTTAGCCTGTTAGATCAAACAATCCAAGTGTAGAGCTGGAGATGTTGGATTCATTTATTTAGCGTACGTATCCTAAGTCCCACCTAGAGGCAGGCACTATTGTAGGTGCTAAGGACACAAAATAAAGAAAGCTGACTTAATCCCAGCCTGTAGAGAATTTATATCCCAATGGAGAGGAATAGACTAAAGGGGGGGGAAAAACTTAAAAGCATGAAATTTGGAAAAAAGTGCAGAATTATACAAGGTGACCAGGAAAAGTCTTTCTGATAAGATGTCGGTGATATTGCTGCAGTGACAGTATTGGTGACCAGTTTGTCATTATGGTCAGAATCAAAGCCAGATGTATGCTTCCATCTTCTGTCTCTACATTAGCAACAAAAAAGTTTTATCTAGATGTCCCAAATTTACATAATAATCAGTAAAAGGAGTCGAGGATATATAAATTATCATATTTTTCTTCTTTATTTAAAGAGTTCTTTGTTTGATAACCAGAAATGTTAGAACATATTGATTGCCCTTTTCACAATGGGTGACTTTGTACATTTATAGGGTGTATTCTCTGATACACCTTTGAAATAACAAACCTGAAAGTTCACTTCAATTTAGTTCATAAACAGACTACACAGTATTTGGTTTGGTTGCTAGAGACCATGACGTGTACACAGGTGTAAATTTATGTGTGTAATCACAGTGTACCGTACTTACATGAATATATGTATGCATGCAAATATACACACAAAACTACATATACATGTACAATATTATGTGTGTTCTTATTTATACAATATACAAAATATACATGTATACATGCATAGGCCTACACATACACACCTATACATATCAGATATATACATAAACACACATGTACATATATGTATACATATACAACATGCACATTCTTACGTGTACACTCACATGCACATACACACACAAATACGACAGTCATCTAATCATCTGTGAAAACAGAACATAGATGTTCCCTTTTCCATAGATTAAGCCCTTCTCCACATCAGCCAGTCTGCAGACAGGGTATCTGTATGCATATGTGTGATCTGACTTACAATTAGTATTTGAAGTTCACTCTCTTGAAGTCCGTGTTCATTCCTTTCTACCTCACTGAGCTTTGGTTTATTGGCTCTTCTCTCATCTTAAAAGAGGGCTCGAATGTAGCAAGCTAATGGAATGATTTACTCTCTTCTCCACTCTCATATTTCTTTTCAGGAGTTGATTTTCAAATGAAAACTCTCATTGTAGATGGAGAGCAAACAGTTCTGCAGCTCTGGGATACAGCTGGGCAGGAGAGGCAAGTGCTTTTCATAACGCTTCAGACTCCACTTAGTTTTGCAAAAATGAGCCTTATAGGATGCTTGGTGTTTTTTATATTTATAATTACATAATATTAGTAGACCTTTTAATTATATTTATATTACATTAGTATTAATTATAAGTTATATTATAATCTCAGTAATGCTCACCTTCTTCCATGTCCCCTCCTTGACATGAGTGTCAGTTGTGTGAGAAGAGGGCCTTTAAGCTTCTTTTGAGCTGATGTTCATGTGCAACTAGAAGAGTGCACTTTCCTAACAGGGGAATCTAAGTGAGGCACCACTCCTGAATGCAGCATCAGAGTGAGGAGCTACTTAGCTGTGCAAAAATAAATGGTGGAGAAGAGAACCTGTCTGCCTACCCTCCCACTGAGTTCAAGTTCAAGATACAAACTAAATTGCATTTAGTTTGTAGATACAAATTTGCATTCATTGCCAATACAAATCTTGCATTCATTGCATTCAAAAGTATAAAGAATATAGGTTTTAATCTTATCTAACCCTTTGAAAATACATAATTGTTTAACAAATAAGAATGGAATGTGTGCCTCTGTCCAGGCACTTGATTCATTCAGTGTTCTGAGATTAATTGATCAGGTGGACACAGAGACATATCCTCATGTAGCTCAGAATCTCTATCAGAATGGAATTTTAACATTTTAAAGATGTCTGTGGTTGATATGACCCTAGATAAAATAATTCTCTGTTTAACCTCCTCTATGTCCTACCTGTGAAGTTGACATTTTTAAAAATTGTACTTCTCTGTTAATGTGGTTCTGCTTTGGGGTTAGAGATTCTTGGGATTGTTTAGTGGAAAAAAAATAATTGGCTTTTCTAAATCAGTCACCCATACCTGGTTCATTTGAAGCTGTAGAGATGGCCACTTCACAGCAATACATTGCTGTTAGAGTCTCAAATGGGGCTGATTTTAGAAGATGAGAAAACAAAAAATGAGCGTAAGGGAAATGAAGAATGAAGCAGCACCCAGCTGATGGAGTCACAAGGTGCTTTTCTGTTTCCCAGATTCAGGAGCATTGCCAAGTCTTACTTCAGGAAAGCAGACGGAGTTTTGCTGCTATATGATGTCACATGTGAGAAAAGCTTTCTTAATGTACGAGAATGGGTAGATATGATTGAGGTAAGGAATCAAAATGAAGAAACAGAAAATTACGTGGAGGAGTTATAGACTTAGAAAATGCTATTGCTCTTTGTGGGGGTGAACTTGACTAGAAGCCTCTGATCCAAGCTGTCAGGAAGAATGGTGTACTAGAGGCAGAGTTTCCAGTGGCCCTTGGCAGCATTGGTCTCTTCTTGGGAATTGCACAAATTCCCCCAAAGCCACAGACACTACCTAAGGTAACTTCTGGGAATAAAACTTCCAGGTTCTCTTATAGATAATATTGGAACCCTGTGTAACCAAGTGAGAATGCAGGTCACCTGAGGAGAAGCAGCTTTCCAAACAAGATGGGGCTGTGGTTGGATGTATACTGTGGTTAAACATGTGTAGGAGCTTCCACGTGGATTAAGACATAGGTGAAACTCCACCTGGATGTGAGCATGAGTTGACGTCTGAAGGCTACAGCAGCTATGTTCTCAACCTTATTTTGGTTGTGATGTGGGGTCTTTAGACACCACAGGTACCTCTGATATACCAGTTGGTATTTTAACTTGTGGGATAATATCTGTGGTGTAGTAGGTTTGTGTCTTTCATCTAAGGAGCTTTCATATCATTTGGTTTCATGCTCAATGATTTTTAAAAGTAGGAAATGATTTTGGCCACATTTAATGTGCTGTTAACAGTTATTAATCAACAAAAGTGTGGTTCAAGCTATGGTTCAGAACACTCTTGAAAAATAAACTAGCCTAATATAACTTTTCAAGTTAGTATGTTATCTATAATTTTAAACAGACCTTAAACACCAGTAGTGGATAAGCAGGACTGATTGCAGTCTGGTGTTAAGTTAACCTCTGGAGTTACATTCTCTAACTAGAAAAGTAATAAGAGAAATGACTGACTGTGGTTGGCAACAAGATGTCAACAATGATTAATAAATATGTACTTTGTTCTGCCAAAATTTCCTGACCCACTATCATTTTGCATGCAGTGAAATGTGTTCACATTTATGTTATATTTTGACTTCACAAAGTTTTCCATATGTTATGCTAACCTCTCTAACATCTGAGAAAGGAAGTTAGAAATGTACTAGTCTCTTATAACGAGAAACCTGAGGCATAGAAAGTATATGGCCCTTGCTTACATTTATTTAGCAGTTAGAGGTAGAATGGGGCTCAGCACCAGAGTGAGCAGCAGATGAACAGAAGTCTTTAATGAGTAGAAAGGAATTCAAAAGTACAGGAGAGGCATCTGCTCAAGAAGAACAAATAGAGTTCCCTGGGCTGGAGAAGTAAGATCTGAGCAAAACGTTTTATTGTTGAAATTTGGGGCTTAGTCATCATTTTAAATGTTTGCATTATGCTTAAGAAAAGAAGGCACAAAAGGCAAGGTTGTTCTCAATGAAAAAGCTCTTACATAAAGTGGCACAGCTATTGCTTGCTGAGCGCCTGCACATGGTAAGTACCCTTTCAGCCATCAGTATCACCTTTTCATAGGGTCTCAAAAGGAAGAAAATGTCACGCAAGATGAATTCTTAAATTTATTATAGGAGGAAAAAATAGATACCATATGGAATTTGAATTCTGCCTTAGAAAGAGTATGGGCACAATGAAGCTTCTCCACAGCTTTATCTAATTGAGGCAATTCTATGGGCCATTTATATGATCACAATAAATTGGGTGGAAATGAGTGGTGCCATCACTAAACAGGCCAGAGGACAGAGAAGCACTAGACTGTCGGTGTGAACCGACTCTCTGAATTGATAGTTGCTATACTTCGATTGAAAGCTGCTAGATTACAAAATCTTATTAACAGAATCATGGATAAAATGAAATTTTAACTTTTTACTTACCTGTTTTGAATAATTTACTGATTGAATGTTTAGGTCAAAGCTGAATGGAGAAAGATACTTGCGATGTGAGATCTGATCCTGACTTTCACATATTAGAAAAAAAGAATTTTTGTTTTTAGTTTCTTCCTCCTCTTTGTTCTGTGTTTGGGGGATGTATCTAATGGTAAAAGTAAGAGCCTTGTCCTATGAAGCCTGTATTTTAGTGGGGGAGTCAGATAACAAGCAACAACCATAAGGAAATAAAAGAGATAGTCTGATAGTAAGTGATAAATGTTATAGAAACAAAAGGAGAAGCAGGCTGCAGTTTTTATTGTGTGGTCACGGCAGCTTCAGCTTCACCAAGAAGGTGATGTTTGGGTCAAGACTTGAAGGAGGTGCCATTTTTCACCTGTGTGACTCTGAGGAGTCATTTAGATGCTTAGCTTCATGGCTACTTAAGTGAATATTGATTAATGACTTCCTGTTGAATTCTGAGATTGCTAAAGAATACAATTCATGAGCACATGAAAGGGTGGAGCAGCTAGTTTTTGGAAGGACATTTTTCTTCCTTCTCCCCTTTGCTTTCACAGTATTCTGATGCCTTCAATCAGAGAAAAATTATCTGAAGAGTAAGGGAATCAAATACAATTTCACTTTAAGGCTCTTGTCTTGATCCTGTATCAGGTATAGCACCAAACTAAATGAGTCTCCCGAGAGCTTTAGGCAGAGAGTAATTTCCACATATTTGTGTCAGGGCTGCCACTTTTTCTTGTTTAGGAGACAGACTCCTGTTTTTCTTGGCTAGTCAGGTTACTGTCTTTTGTTGTCATCATAGCTGCTGAGGTAGACTATGCTCTCAATAACCCTTTCAATTTATAGAGAAGGAAATTGAGGCAGAAGCTTGAGAATACTTGACTATTCTTACATAGCCCGTGAGTGACCAGGTGCTAGGAAGAGTAGGTGCTGAGTTAGCTCTGCACTCATACCTTAGGGTCAGTGTTGCTCTGAATGCTGGGAAGCTGTGGCATTTTTCATATGCTGATAAGCTCTAGCCTTAGGATCTATTACTTTGAATGTCCAGCAGTGGATTCTTATGAAAACTGTTGACCTTTAGGACTTTATATTTTGCTTTTATTGGAAACCAGAGAATGGTGAGTGGTGAACTTTTGAACCTCGCTTTTCCCATGACAGCTAAAGAATTACTTGTGTTTTGCACCTGTGATAATGAAGTTGACTAGGACTCATCATTGTTTGAAGTGAAAGCTGTAGAAAATTATGTCAGTGCCCAAGCCAAAAATAATTCTGTGGTCATGCTTCTTAAGTTTATATTGGTTTGTCATGCTCTGTGTGCTAGAAATGAGAAATTAGCAGATGCATGTTTCCTTTGCTGTAAAGCTGATTAATCCCAGTGCCTTTTACCCTTTTCATTAACCTAAGGATGCAGCATTGTATAATAGGGGGATTTGAGGTAACTTTGAACCTGGGTCCTAGGCCTAACATGTTCTTATTTGACCTCTCTGAATTTCACTTTTCTTACCAGTAAATGGCGGGGCGGGGTGGGGGGAGGGTAAGGCTAGCTGAGCTTAAAGATATTTTGAGATTTAAAGATACTATTTCAAGTATAACAAATAATTATTGTAATTGACAATCTAAGAGTTGTACAGTGATAATAAGTGTGCTCTTTATTCTACTGCAATGTGACTTAACATGACTTTGAATGCATTGAAAGCAGCTTGTATTCATGTAACATTTTTTTCAAGAAATTCTGAAAATATCATCTGACATACAACTGGACAGTGGCAGCCGCTACTGCTGTTACCAACAAACATCATTTGACATACAACTGGACAGTGGCAGCTGCTACTGCTGTTACTATTGTTACTGTTGTCATTGTATTTGTCCAATGTCTGATGTGTGCCCATTTTTCTTTCTTCTTGGTAGGATGCAACCCAAGAGGCTATTCCTATCATGTTGGTAGGAAACAAGGCTGATCTTCGTGACACTGCTGCTTCAGAGGGTCAAAAATGTGTGCCTGGGTATTTTGGAGAAAAACTGGCCATGGTAAGAGTGAGGGTGGGTCCAAATTGAAAAAGAATCAAGGGGTTCAGTAGCGTTGGGGTCAGTGGCCTTTCACTTTTGTCTACCTTCGCTCACGAGGTTCTTTGGTAAACCTCCACCCTGTTTGATGGGGTGATGGACTGTCCTTACACAGTGGAACTCCCAGAACCCTACCTTCCTTGCACAAATGTAAGTAATGATGGCAAGGAGCAAATCCCTGGTGGAAGGAAAACAGTCACAGAATCCTTTTCCTCCATTGAGTATCGTTGACAGAGAGCCAAAACAATCTTGCTGTCTTTCTTCCTTTGCCCTCTCACCCAGTTCCTGGAATCCTTCTCTAGTCCCGGAATCTAAGTAAGGGAGAAAGAATGAGTGTTCTATTTTGAAATGATGGGTTTGGTTCCAGAGGGTGACCATGCCAAGGAGCAGAAGATACAGCAGCATTTGACCTAGTGGGAAGAGAATCAGAGGGCTGTTGCTTTTTTTTTTTCCCTCAAAGATTTGTGCTTAGTTGGAATAGTCTCACATTATTTTTGGATATGCATTTGTATAGAGGAGTAAGTTCATTCCTGTGCTGAATATTAACATGGGAAAAGTTCCTCCCTGTTACCATGGCTGTGTCAGAATGCTGCATAGCCTTCTCATCACTTGTCTAACCCATACAAGAAATCAGCTGCACCTGGGGTCAAGTAAGTTCACACCGTGACAGTCTGGTGGGATGTTAGTATTGCTATCTGTTCTCAGAACCAGGAAAGGACTACTCGGTAGCATATGAATGTGAGCTTTAAAAAGAAGTTTTATTTTAGCTTGGATTGTGGCTCAGCAGTAGAGCACTCGCCTAGCACGTGCAGAGCACTGGGTTCGATCCTCAGCACCACATAAAAATAAAATAAACGTATTGTGCCCAACCACAACTAAAACAAAATATTTAAAAAATATATTTTTCTAGTTTAGGTTAGAAAATCTTGTTTGAAACCTCAGAACTGAAAACCAGTTGTAATAAACATCAAAAAGTAGATAAGGAAATGCAGAAGCAATTGATTAAGGCACCTGCTTAATTGTATCCACTGTGAAACAAAAATCAAAGAGGAGATTAGAGGACAGAGCAACATGTTTCTCCTGGTGTCGTTTATTGTCTGGGAAAGGTATACATGGAGCCTCCATAGTCCATGGGCCAGAAGCTCTTCCACACAACCCTTTGAAATCTAGTAATTCTTATCTGCCTGGTAATTTTATTCTTCACCAAATTTCTTCTTTTTTAAATTTTTTTAAAAAGTTTTAGTTGTAGCTGGACACAATCCTTTTATTTATTTTTATGTGGTGCTGAGGATTGGACCCAGGGCCCCACATGCGCTAGGCAAGCACTCTACCTTTGAGCCACAACCCCAGCCCCTCTTCACCAGATTTCTAAAGTTTTCTTCTTCAAGCATCTTCTGCCTTCCACCATCCTGTATCCTCAAAGACAGTCTCTGTTTCACCTTATAACATCCTGGGTGTTAAAGTCAATATCAGTACTGTTTCTACTTGACATACATTCACTTTATGATGTGTAGATTTTTTTTATGGACTTGGAGGCTCCTAGATATAGGTCCCATTGTGGAATTTGTTCCCTTTCTCAACCTCTTCTCTCTCTCTCCCTGCATCAGAGCAACCATCAAATTCTCCCCTTATCCCACACAGGAATATTTAACCCACATTCAGACCTATAGCCTATCTAGTTCTCCTTTATTAAGAGAAAAATATCTCCAGCTTGTTAGACAAAGAAATAACTCTCTTTGGTGGCAGATGCTATGTTATTTGGTGGCAAATGCTATGCAGAAAAAATAGTGAGTGTTGTGAGGTTTTATGATATGAAGACCTTGTATAGACTTTCCGGGTTTAGAAACAGCTTAATCTTAACTTCGATAAGGGAATGTTACCTAAAAATCCAAAAAGTAGGTAGGACTCTGGTGAAGGCATAGTGGAGGGAAAGGTAGCCTTAGGTCCTGGGGTCAGTGCAAATTTGGGGAACTGGAAATATTTAGGGAAAGCCAGGGTAACTGGAACTTTGTAAGTATGGTGATAGGGTAGAAAGCAAAGCTGGGAGATTGGCAGGCACTTGTTGGCCATGGGAAAGCATTTGAACATTGCTTGAAGAGGAATGGGAGGCATTGGAAGGTTTGAGCAATCATACCTAATGCTGGGAGGTTAATTAAGAGAGAACTAAAAAATGTCCACTGGTTTTAGCAACAAGGAGACTGCTGGATCCTCAGAGGAAACGATGATAGTGTGAAGCTGGCCAAAAGCAAACCTGCTTTTGATGAACACGTAATTCCTGTGTGGTTACCTTAAGCTATCATTTTTATTTCCCTCAGATTGATAGAGAACATTTGGTAGCATGTGTATAATAAGAATTGGAAGTAAAAAAAAAATCTTAAAACAAATATATTGTATTTTTCAATGCAAGATAAAAATCCTCTGAAAAGTGAACTGTTCCTGGAATAACTATGCTCAGACTTGTTCCTTGTTTTAAGTACTGAAACTCTGAATTCAATTTCTTAGCTAATAGTTACTCTGCATGCTTGATAGAAAACATATTTTATCTATTTTAATAAAAAATTTCAGGAAACCCAATTAAAGGCTTCATTTAATTGTGTAATCTTCTTTTCTACAGAACTATGGGGCGTTATTTTGTGAAACAAGTGCCAAAGATGGTTCCAATATAGTGGAAGCTGTTCTCCATCTTGCTCGGTAAAGTTTCACCTTATGCTTGGAAAACTGGATGTAGGACTGAATTTTCACTTAGTTAATGTTTATGTCAGATTTCTTGACCATAACATACAGTTAGAGTATCCTTTGCAAAACACTGTCCTATTTTTCAGACATGATAGGAGAAGAGAATACACACTGATGTTATAAGAACTGATAATGCCTCTGGTTCACTGTGAAGTTGGGCAAAATATTCTTATAGGTACATCTGAGGTGTTGTTGACATTCTGCAAAATGTTATCATATAGCTAATAATGGACTTGTAAGAATCATCTCCAGGAACCAGATTTTAAATACAAGAGACTATTGCCAATATAACTATGTATTGTGGCATTTTACTGGGTAAAAAGGTGGAGGAAACAACAAACAGAGCAAATTGTCTATCATGCCAGTTAGAATCACTTTGCCAAAATTATTACCTAGGTAATTATTTAGTTAAGGCAATGGTGTTGATAATAAATAATATTTTAGGATGTGTACTAGAATGAAAACCACATCATTAAGGATGTATATAAATATGCCTGCACTTTAGTTCTGGATGTATCCCTAGGAAATAACATTTTTTTGGCTAAATTTATCTCTGTGGCTTAGTTTTTCTGCCACAGATGTTTATTAGCCTAAAGGGATATGTACCCCACCCCAAAAAGGGAAAAGAATAAAGATATCAGAAAAGAAAACCAGGACAGTGATATCTAGTTGTAGACAAAGCAAAAACAAAATTTTAGGCATATAATTCTTTTCCTGATGATTTGTGAGATTTTGTGATAATTGACCTCTTCCACTAGTAAACATTGACAGTTAAATACTTTGCATTATTTTCTATGCTACTTTTCAATTAATGACTTGGTATTCAGAGTGCCTAATTAACTGGAGTTCTGTTAGTAGAGTGCTTGGGCTAGGACCTTGAGCTTAGTGGCTTGCCCTCACCTGAGAGAACAAGGAAACAAGTCAAGGACCTCTGGCAACCTGCATAGCATTAGCGTGTGACAGGGCTTGGCAGACACCCTGAACTCACACTCAAAGAGTCTTTTCATCTAACATCAGTTCAAGAGAAATTATCCCCCCACCCCACATCACTAGAAATTATCTTTATTTAAAGCACAAACCGTGCGAACTTTGAATGTAAACTAAAACAGGTAGGAAAAAGGCTAATATCTAAACATGTATATAGATTCAGTTGAAGTACATTGTTTTTGTTTTTGTTTTGGACCAGGGATTGAACTCAGGGGCACTCAACCATTCAGCCACATCCCCTGTCCTAGTTTGTATTTTTATTTAGAGACAGGGTCTCACTGAGTTGCTTTAGTGCCTCACTTTTGCTGAGGCTGGCTTTGAACTCCTGATCCTCCTGCCTCAGCCTCCTAAACGCTGCTGGGATTACAGGCGTTGCCATTGCTCCAGGCATATATATATATATATATATATATATATATATATATATATATATATATTTAGTAGGAGAATCCTGGACTGATATCATATTTTACACAAAAGAGCCATTCATTATCAGCTCAAATAATGAATTCCACATGCCTCTGGTACATAGGGAACACCAGCTGTTTTGGCCTACCAATCTACTTGTACTACAGGGAGAATTCATTGAAATATAGTGTTTGCCTTTTAGACAGAGTAATTGCTGAATTAATAAGTATTTTCACTTTTTCAAGTGCTTGTTTTGGTATTTCATGAATATGTGTCCAAGGATTTCTACACAGCAGGAAATGATGCACTTTTGGGTCCTGCTCCACCCACATCTGCCCCAGCAGCTACATAATCACCTCCAGGTCAGTCCTTGTGTAGGTTGAGCATCCCTAATCTGAAAATCTAAAATCCTAAATACTCTAAAAGCTGAAACTTTGGACACAGATGTTAATGGTCAAAACACTGAATTTTTGATCATTTCAGATTTGGGATATTTAGATTAGGGTTACTTAACTGGTAAAGTCTAACACTCTGGACCCAAGCATTTTGAATAAGAGATATTCAAGCTCTTTATGGTTATTGGCTGCTGCCTAGCATATTAGAGGATTGTGGAAGGAGAAAACTCAAAGTCCATTCTTAAATCTACCCTGAAGTAGCTAAGAAATCTTCGTCAAGTCCTAGAGTTACTTTAGGCATCTGGAATTAGCAAAATGAGGAAGGGGATGAATAAAATGACCTTTCCAATAGTAACAGACCATGATTTTTTATATAGTAGACTACACTCTACTGAATAAAATAATTAGTGTTTAATGCTCAATTGTCTCATGGGGCCATATTAAATTGAAATGCATACAAAATGCCCTGGTCACACCCAAAGTGTGGAATTGATTCTCTTTATTATATCATAAAGATGGGAGAGGCTGCAAACTGCAGGCTTCCTCCCCATCTGCTCATATGTGACCTGTTGGGTCAGTCGGTCATTGGCCCTGTTTATTGTGTAACTTAGACACCAGTTTGTGTTTATTTACTTAAAACAATTGGTGTACGAAGGCATTTTGATAACAAAGTTCTTCAACTGTGTAAGGTAAGGTCATAGTTATTTTTTAATCTTTAGACAATTAAAGAAATCAAACAAGCTTCTTGTGAGTCACTTATCATGGAAGTTTTCTTTTCATTGTTATTGCATTATGGCCTGGTTTGGTGGGCCTCTAGTATATTAGTGATGTATGAAATATAAAAAAAAAATTACAAATAGAGTAAATATGTGAAAGCTTTGATGTTTGCCATCCTCAGAGTTCCTTGTCAGAGTACTCAAGACTAAAGTAGAAATGTTATAGTCTTCACAGGTAGAATTATCATTTTTAAAAGTTTTCAACCTTTAAAAATTTGCATGTTATGTACAACACATAAGTTCTTGATTTAGATCTCGTGGGGTGATTCCAGCATCGTCCCTTCTTTACCATGTAATGTCATAAGTTGTGAAATAGTATCCTATTTGGTATGTGTTTGCACTGTCTGAAACATAGTTTGCTTTTGAAGAGAGGCCACATGTGTTTGATTAACAGCCTGGACTCTATCTGCTTTTTCTTGAAAAACTTCTGAATCCAAGGAAAAATTTCTCCTAGAAATACAATATTCTTACAGTGCCACTAGGTCCAACCATGGTCCTATTATAAGTAAATTTGCTAAAACTGGAACCACAGGCTTTAAACATTTTGTAGTAGAGCCAAGTTCAACAGGCATTCAGTTGAGCAACAGTATAAAATAGGAGAAAAACACGGAAAGCTCAGGCTTTATACAGATCAGCTCAAGAACTGAACTGCTCATACGTGGCCTGTTGGCTACATTGAGTCATTTAAAAGGCAATTGTTTTATTTTTCTGATTGGCACATAATAATTACATATGTTTTAAAATGTAGTCGTAAAGCAGGTGGCAGCTTTTGGTGAAGTCACTTAATTTTCCCAGGCATAAACCTGTTTTAGATGTTTCTGATCATATCTTTCTGATTTCCTTAATGTCGGCATGCCTGCAGTTTTGATGGATGAAAACAAAAACACAAAGACCAGGTGAAAGATGTGGGTGTACATTTTCCTTCCTTAATATTTGCTTTCAAGTTTAATAATGTAAGCATTATTATGAAAATTTAGTATGTGCTTAGCCCTCTACCAGGTTCAATAGGATATTAGTGGAATAAAAGGCAAGCCTTGTAGTTTGACATTAGAAGGAAAAATATAAATAAGATATAAATATATATAAAGCCAGGCAAGGCAGCCATATGGTTTGTAGCTGATAAGAGGCCATTGGGTCTCCCAGAGGGAGATATGCAAATTGTCCCATGAGGATACAGTGCTTATCCTGCCCATTTTGCAGATGAGGAAACATAGGAATTAGGATATTTAATCAGCCTGATCAAACGGACACAGCGAGGAGGTGGTGGAGTCAGGACTCTCCACTGCCACCCTGAATCACTGCTTGCCACTTCAACGTTGGTCACCTCAGAATTTCATTCTGCACTCACTACTTCCTCTTCCTCTTTCTCTCCTTCTCTCTCTCCAACTGATGTCTCCATGCCCCTGGCCTCTGAAACCCTTTCAAGTTGGTGACTTCCAGTTTCTGTTTTTTTACCCATTTCATTTTAAAATGCCATAAGCATGTCCTGAACCCTCAGCTGGAAGTTCCATAGGCATAATGACTCGGTGTCTAGCAATCACAGTGGACTAAGAGTCCTTTAAACTTGTTCTTCATCCTGGGTTCTCTTTCTGAAGAGTCTGCCAATATCATAATTAAAACCTAGTCACCCAGGCTCAATCTTGACTCCTTTCCTTTCTTTTCTTGCTTTATCACCTATCCCCAGTGGGTTCTAAGCCCTGGAGATTAATGACATTGGTGTAATTTCTGTTGAATTCCTGTATCTCTCTTTGTCTCTCCCTCTCTCTGCATTTCCAGGTGTTTATGCCTCAGATTTTCTTCAATATGAGTTCATTCTCTACTTGGTAATTAGTGTACTCTTTATAAATAAAAATCCAATTAATATTTACTCTTTAGTTTACAATCCCACATTAGTATACTACTTATAATATAAAGTCATATATAAATATAAAACAATATAAATATAAAGAGATGCTCATCATGTGACTGATAGGCCTTCATGACCTGATCTTACCTGCATTTCTAGTTGAATACCCTTTGCCCAAAGTGAATAGTACTGTTTGTAGACCAGCAAACTTTGTGTCCATTTTTGGCAAAGTTCTTTTATATCTCAACTTTTATACACTTGGCAAAGCGTTTGTATTTGGAAATTGCGTTAATTTCTTTTGTCTCTAATAAATTTCCACAGATGTAATAGCATAAATAATACACATTCTGAGAATTCGAGAGCACAGAAGTCTAGACTGTCTCTTGGGGAATTGGGGGTGGATTTGTGCATTCAGTTTCTTTTTCTGAGACTTTGTTTCCTCATCTGTGAGATAATACTCATGTCTCACCTGTCAGGGTGTGTATGGGTGTGGGTATATGTGCATGGTGTCTGCTAAATAAGAAAAATGTAAAAACATGTGTCATAGCGCTTTTTAGCTGGCCTACAGCAAGAATTACTTTCCATTTTTTTTTATTTGTTAATTTTTTCTGCTGATATATGTAGTTTTTGACTCATAAGTGACTTTTAAAGGTTAGTGTGTTAGTCATCTTTTTGTCACTGCGACAAAATAACCAACAATAACAATTTAAAGGAGGAAAAATATATTTGGATTCACAATTTCAGAGGTTTAGTCCATGATAGTCCATTGCTCTGGACCCAAAGTGAGGCAGAGCATAACTGTGGAAGAACATGGAAGAGCAACACTGTGCATCTTGTAGTGGCCAGAAAGCAAAGAGAAAAAGAGAAAGGGGCTGCAGGAAAGATCAATCATTCCAGGGCACATCCCCAGTGACCCACCTCCTCCAGCCATAGCCCACCTTCCCACAGTTACCATCCAGTTAGTCCATTTAGACTAGGATGGACTCATACAATAACATCTCTCACCATCCAGTAATTTCATATTTGAATATTCCTGTACTGACACAGGAGCTTTTTGGAGACACCTCCTATCTAAACCATAACATTCCATCCCTGGACCCCCAAAAGCTCTATCCACTTCACAATGCATAGTGTATTTAGTTCATCTCTATGTGTCCCCATAGTCTTACTAGTTCTAGCATTGCCCAAAATTCCAAGTCCAAAGTCTCATTTGAGACTCAGGGCAAACTCTTGGCTGTCAGCCCCATAAAAATCAAAAGCAAGATACCTATATCCAATATACAGTGGCAAAGAGTAACAGTCACATTTCAAAAGGAGGAATTGGGGCATGTAATGAAGGGATGGTACCCAAATAAGACTGACACCTAGGCTGGCAGACAGGCCCCAAAACTCCACATATTGCCTGTAGGACATGTGGTAGTAAGATGTGCTCTTCAAAGGGCTAGGGCAGCCCCACACATTTGTCTTGCTGATTGAAGTGCACATTGGTTCTCTCTTGGCTTGACTGTCTCCACAGCCAGCTTTTTTTGTGGTGGGGGGGCACAGACAGTTCATGTTACTGACATATTTTACTTCTTATTGTCTCTATTCCCGCTTTTGCTTCACCTTCACAGCTTTGGGCATTGCCCTCATAGTGTCAACTTTCTAGGACCCTCTGTGCAAATAGAGTTCCCTGCAAATAGGGTTCCCTGTGTTTTTTTTTTTTTCTCAAAGGAATTTTCCCTTCTTTATTCTTGAGTCTGCAATGGTGTAGTCTTACAAATTCTTGAGATACCCTCAAGCCATCTTTCCTATTGTCTCTTTTCAAAGTACTTAGCACATCTTTAGGAACTATAACCTTTATAACCTCTTTGGTTCCAGAGTTACATTCACTTTCCTGGCCAAATTGCAAATTTTGAAAATTCTTTAGCTCTGCTTTCTGTTCCTGATTCTCACAGTAAACCTGGCTGAAAGCTGCAGGAAGTTAAACCCATGCATGCCACTGCTTGAATGCTGTGCTGCCTTGAAATTTATTCAACCAGATTAGTTGGTCCACCACTTTTAAATTTAGCCTCACACAAACTCTTGGGACATAAACAAAATGCAGAAAATTTCTTTGCCAGGATGTAACACAAAGGGCTTCTAGTCCAGTTTCCAGTAGAGTCCCCATTCCCCTCTTTGACTTCATGGACACAGTCTTGACTATCTCCATTCCTATTGACATTGTGGTTTTCTGAGCTCACAGTAGGATTGCTCTTTACACTCTAAACATTTTAATGCCTTTCTAGTCTTCATTTCCAAACTTGGTGAAACTCCTCTTGCAAACAATTTCAAAAGGCTTCTGAATCACAGGGTCAGGTTGGTCACAGCAATAACCCCACTCTTGGTACCAATTAGTCAGCTTGTAGTTGCTGTGACCAAAATACTTGACAAGAGCAACTTAGAGGAGGGAGAGTTCATTTTGGTTGATGGTTTCAGAGAAATGTGTAGTTCATGGTGGACCAACTCCTTTTCTCCAGATTAGGCAGAACATCAGGGAAGGGGCAATGGAAGAGGGAGGCTGATCCATTCATGGCAGCCAGAAAAAAGAGAGAGAGAAAGAGGAAGGGGCTGCAGGAAAGATAAACCCTTCTAGGGCATGCCTCCATGGATCCACAACCTGTAACCATGCCCCACCTATAGTTTCCACTCAGTCATTCAAACTAGGATGGGTTGATTAAGGCATATCTCTCACAATCCAATCATTTCACTACCAAACACAGGTGTTTTGTGGGAACACTTGAATCCAAACCACAATAGAACATATCAGAACCTTCTGTAGTTGCATTGGCTAATTTGGTAGCCATTAGTTTCTTGAAATGTGGCTGATTCAAATTGAGTTTTCCTGTATGTATTATATATACTGAATTTGAAGAAAGTACAAAAAGTATAACATATTTCAGTTATATTATTATTGATCTCATGCTAAAAATATTTTTTCTATAGTGTTAATAAAATTACTAGTAATCTATTAATAAAAGTAATTTCCCCTATTTCTTTTTACATTTTTTAATATAACTACTAAAAAATTTGAAATGACATATGGACCACATTGTATGTTTATTTAAACAACCTTACTTTATTGAAAAGATTCCTAGTAGTTTCCATTGAACACTCCATAATAAACCATCCCCAAAGTTAGTCACCTTAAGCAAAAACTATTTTTTATTTCTTACAATCACCAGAGATTGCTGATCTTGGCTAGAAGATTCCTCTACTGCTATTCTTGGGTGTTTTATGTATTTGCAGAGAGATGGGTCTAGAGGCTGTAGCTTTGGCTGGATATCTGCAACCAGGGTGTTCCTCCTCGTGGCTTCTCTCCATGTAGCATCTCATTCCTCATGGCACTCTGGTAGCCTCTCTCCATTAAGGAATCTAGTACTTCTTAAATGGCAGCCCAAAGTGGCTGTAGTGACTGAGATTATTAACACCGGGGTTTGGAAGTACAGCGCATCATTTCCTTAATGTTCTATTGGTCAGAGTCACCAAGAGTCAGCCCTGACAGGAAGGTTGGGGTAGGCACAGCTCCACCTCTTCTTGGGGAGCACGAGGCATTGAATTCTTCATTTCTTCATATATAAAATGGCACACAATAAATTAATAGGTTTCTTTTGAAGAATAGGAAAGTGGACACCAGGAAGAATTTAGAAGTGTCTAGTGGCTCATGCAAACATTCAGAATTGCTATGCTTTTTTTCTAAATAGCCATTTGTTTGGCAGAATTATTGATGCCATCTTGAAGATAAGCAGTCACACTCATCTCACCCACAGAAATAGTTATTCATCTCATCTATAGTGGGATGCAGGGTCTTTATATTTTGTGGGAGTTACACGTGGAAGGACACTTCCCTAGGGAGCTTTCAGAAGATACTGGAAAGTATTACGTATTTTATCAGTGTTGCTTCTATTGAGAAACTTAGGAAAAAACAAAAGGAAGATATTTTTTTCCTGGATTTTAACTGTCCACTATTCAATGTCATTAAATAATGGTTCTAAAACTGCCATTGCTTTGTTTTGGTCAGCAAATCATTACTTGTGGATGGAAGCCACACTCCAGAGTGTTAAGGAGTGAACTGTCCATGTGGCAGATGATACAGCATTCTGAAATTTCAGGAAAGAGGAGAGGCAGGGTGTGTCTGTGTGTATCCTGGTGCTCAGAATACTGGCACTGTGTGGTTTGAATTCCACTTCTCCATTTTTGTGACTTAAGAGAAAATTCTTTTTTTTAATTGATACATTATCATTAAATAGTGGACTTCATTATGCCATGTTTATACTTGCACATAACATAATTTGATCAATCCTAAGATAAGTTTCTTAACCTCTTTCTACCTTCATTTCTTCATATATAAAGTGGGGCACAATAAATTAATAGGTTTCTTTGAAGAATAGGTAAGTGGACACTAGGAAGAATTTAGAAGTGTCTAGTGACTCATGCAAACATTCAGAATTGCTATGCTTTTTTTCTACAGAGCCATTTGTGTGGCTAAGTTTGTACCTCAGTAACCCTCTCCCCCTTGCCTATACCTAGGGAAGTAAAAAAAAGGACTGATGAGGATGACAGCAAATCTATCACCAATCTGGCCGGGACCAATTCCAAAAAGTCAACACAGATGAAGAACTGCTGCAATGGTTAAACTCCGACATCCTCAACTGATGTACACTTCATTTCCAGAGTACTGAATTTTGTGACCAGTTTGGTTTCTATTAAGGTGATTCACCCTACTAGCACTGTCCTACAGAGAGTTAACAGCATGGGCTATCTGAACTGTCTCTTGGGTCTCCCTGGAATCTCGGCTCTTCTTTGCTGTATCTACATGAACAATTTGGGCCCTTTGGTCATTACAGAGTCTTAAAAGATAACACTTAAATGTTTTCAATTTGGTATTAAAAAAAAGATCACATGCTTAAATCCAAGCTACAGAAGAAACTCACATTACTAGATTGATGAGGTAGTTGACTTTGTAGTTAACCTATGACAATGTTTATTGAATATATTTGATGCTAGACAGTAGTATGAGCAAGTTCTTATCCTAGCTTCCCTGCTAACTAGCTTTGTGATCTTGGGCATGTCACCAGCACCTTAGATCTGTATGTGTCCTCTGTAAAAGCAGCAGCTGGCCTCCAAAGCCTTGTAGTACCTCTCAGATGCTGTAGCACTGTAAGCAGCAGGAAGGCGAACACGATGACCTACAGTTAATAAGGGCTCTGGTTGTTTCTACTTTCTAAATACTGAAATATTGATTTTCTTACTTCTGAAATGAGAACAGAATTTAAAAATGAGAAAAAATGTTTCCATTTTAGGCTTCAGTGGAAACAGAGATATCTATTTTTTATATATAAAAAATGTTTGAAAAAAACTTGTATATAGAAAGAACTATACTTTGTAATCTTTAGAAGAGTGACAAAGTCCACAGTTTGAATTCAGTATGAAAAATTTTAATGAAAACATGTAAAGCCACATACTACTGAAAGTACAGAGCCCAGAAAAGCTGTCCCTCTTCATTTAAAATGTACACCAGCCAGTGGTTACCAGAGACTGAGGAAAGGAGAACTGGGAGTGACTGCTAATGGGTATGGGGTTTCTTTCAAGAGTGAAATCGAATTAAAATTGTAGTAATTGTTGCACAACTTATTGAATATACTAAAACCACTGAATTTTATACTGTGAATGAATTGATTTTGTGGTATTTGAATTTTATCTCATTAAATTATATGAACACTTACAATGATTTAATGTTTTACCAAATGAAAATATTCATGCTATTTCAAACCTTCCCATGGTTTAGGATATAATCTGCAATATAATACAAATCCCCTAACTCCCTACTTTCAAGCATTAACTTTCTTAAGTAATGAAGAATAAAAGAAGCAGTATGCGTGGTTTGGGGGGAAAAAATCTATAAAAGAGGAATTGCCATAGAGAATGGTGAGCTGAAGTCCTTTGTTTAATATAACATCTGACTCTTCCTCACCAATGACCTGTTCAGTCTTGCTCTCCTTCCAGAATCTGTGGGGTCTCCAGGCTTCCCTACTGAAACATCTCTAAGAGCCAAGGGAAGCAATATCAGGCCCAAGTGTGGGCCTGGCTTTTAATGATGTGAGCCAATTAAGTTGCTCCCAGCAAGAGATTTGAACTTATCTTAGTGCCTCTAGATCCAGGCTTCAAGTATCTTGTTGAAAAACCTAAATAATAGCTGTTATTTATTGTATATTAAAAACATTTATTTTTGTTAAGTTAAAATAATTATATGTATCAATCATTTTCCTGTTTATGATTTTTTTTTATGGTCAAACTTTAAATTCCTTAATCTGTGGGGGGGTTTTTGTTTTGTTTTGTTTTTGTTTTTTAAGCTCTTAAAGCTTGCCAAAACATTTCAAGGCTTTTTGTATTTTTGCTGGGAAGTTGAATCCTCAGTAACTCTACCATGAATTCATGTTTTAACACTTTATGGTTTTCGGTCCCAGAGAAAGATTCCATTTCTGACTATAGTGCCTTGGTTGTGGGGAATTGTCAAAACAAATGGGGGTGGGGAGGCGGGATGAGTGGTTGTTATTTTTGCTGCCCATGGTATGGTGAAATGAAAGTTTTATGGTTGCTGTGCCTCAGTGGTGTCTATAGACCCCAATGAGGTTGGTTGGACATGTGTTGATAAATAAGGCACTCATTTGAGTTTTATTGTTCAATGCTGTTAGTATACATGTTATTGTATTACATTTATTTATTTCCTTCAAAGTGTCTCTTTTTATTTGTCTTACAACATTATTCCTGTAAATAAGAATGTACCTTTAATATAGAAGTCTTATCTTGATCATTGCCTCTGGATCATGCTGCCAGCACACCCAAATTGATTAGGAGATTACTTAGGAGACTTTGAGGGGCAAACCAGTCATCTTCAACTATCAGAGCACTACAAATGTTTAGGCAGTGTAATCCAAATAATAGACTTTTATCTCTGGTTAGCAATGTTGTTTAAAGAAAGCTACTTTAAAAAGAAAGATTCCTTGCTGGTGATCATCATTGTTTACCCAAATTTTTGTTTTGTGAAGTTGTTCTCCAATTTATGGTATATTTTCAACAAAGACAAGAATATTTAATGTTTTTAACTTAGACTTAATTTGGTAGGTTTTAATATTCCTATGGATGTAACTTATCTTGTCTCTGTTTCTCCTTTGAGAGATTTTAAAAGCATAATCATACTATACTCCTTTTTTATATACACTGACACATTGGATAATATTTTAATTTCATTATGGAAAATAATGTTGGATAAGGAGGCATTTTTCACTGCTAAATTTAAGCCCTGTACATTTCCATAATTTATTTTTTCCACTTGCTGTTTTATATGATGTATGTGACATTTGATTATTTAATACTATATGTGATTTGCATAAATCCAAGCCACACAACCCTCCTGCTGAAGATAAAATTGAGGTTAAAGATAAAGACTTATTTTCATATTTATACAGTGATTGGCTTCAGAGTGATGGTTTTTATGGGCTTTTATTGTATGTGTGTGTAAGAAATTTCATATGTATATATTAAGTAGGCCTCTGAGAATTGAATAATTGTTTTATGATTTTGATTTATATGGTTTACATTTTCATGGTTTGGGCCATATTTCGTTTATACTGTTTATTTCTCTTCAAGCCATTAATAATTATACCATAAAGTATAATTTTATAGCAATGCAAATATCTAAGGAACTACAAATATTTTGTGCCTTGTAAATTCAATAAAGTGTGCTTCTTTTGACCTATTGGCTGCTTCCTTCAGCTTTACTGCAGATACTCTTGAAGCCGTTTTTAATTGTAAGATGTGTCTGCATGAGGCTGTACCTGTACAACCCATCTGTTCTGGCTATGTCAAGCCTGGCTGGTTGGAGAACAGAATGACTGCCCAGTATTTGGTGCTGTGACATAGCCCTGACATCTTGACCAACAGGGCAGCAGGTAGACCAGTGTAGGGCAAGGCAGTCAGGAGTAGTGAGGCTTTTGTAGAACTATTTCAGAATATGCTCTGGCATCCTCATGACCTTTGAGGGCTCAGTCCTTTTGTCTGACACTCACTTTCTCTCTCTGCCTAGCTAAATCCTCCAGGAAGGTTTTTCTGGACCCCCAAAACTAAAATGAGGCTGTTTGTTCTCACTTCTTAATGTCCTTATTGACCTTACATTTATTTAAGTAAGACTTATGATCCCTGTTCTTAGCCATTTTGCTGTTACCACTATTCAGTGGGCACAGTGCTTAGAACTTTAATAGTACCAATTATTGAATAGATTATGTGTTAATCAGCTTCCCATTACTGTAAAAAAGTGCCTGAGATAGTCAGCTTTAAAAAAGGAAAGGTTTATTTTGATTCATGGTTTCAGAGTCCATGGTTGGTAGGTCCTGAGGTGAAGCAGAACATTATGGCAGACATCATGGCAGGGAAGCAGAAAGAGGAGGAGTCAAGAGTCCCAATGTCCCTTTCAAGGACATTCCCCTAAGTGACTAGAAGACTTAGAATTAGGTCCCCACCCCCTTAAAATTTCTACCATGTCCCAAGAGCATTACAAACTGGGAACTAACACATGGGCCTCTGGGGGACATTCACAATCCAAACCATACTGACTATCAAGAACGGACAGGGTAAATAAGGCAAAACAAATATTTTTTTAATCTGCCACAGATTTTATGCAGAAACAGAAACAGACATTTTACTCTTTAGATAATATCCCAAAACTTCTTAACATGATGTCTAAGGCTCACTTATTCAGTTAACACTCACTGAACCTGATATTTATTTATTTCAACAGTTTCCTAAATAGTATTCTAGACAGTGGGATCCATACTAGATAAGACAGACTGCCAACAAGATAACATTCTGCTGGGAGATCAGCAAAAAATTGTGAACCCATAAAGAAGATTCACATTCTGTTTCTTTTGTCCTTTTTCCACCTGAGTCTACATTCAAGCCCAGGAAACTTCTTCAGACACACCATACTGACTTACCTCCTGCCCTTTACACAAGGTGTGCTTCCTGCCTAGAAGATACACCACTGTCCTCTCTAGCCTGCCCACCCAGCTGCTACACATCTCAAATCAGCTGCAACTTCCTCTGGCAGCAGTGTCTGACCTCAAGTATGAGCTAGATCTGCTTCTCCATGCAGATCTGCAGCTCTGCCCACCATGTCCATCACAGCACTTTATCTGACTGACTTGTAATGATCAGTTCAATTGAGTACGTGGCATGTTGAATGACTTCTGTCTCCCTTTAAGTTTTAGTGGAGTAGACTTTCTCCTGGATGCACATCTCAGCATCATGACTTCCAGTTTCTCTAGATCAGGGTCTTAGGTTTTCTATACCACGGACCTCTTTAAAGCACAGAAACCACTCAGAATCATGTTTTTAAGTGAACAAAATAAAATGCTTACACTAAAAAGGAAAACAATTACTGAAAGATGATTCCCAAAGTATTATGTATTATCTATATGAAATATATAAACATATTACATATAAATATATATAATATATAAGCAGTGTATACATATATCTAAAATATATACACATATGTCGTACATTCATACACACACACATTTCAGTACTGGGAATTGAACAAAGCATGTTCTGCCTCTGAGTTATAGCTGCAGAACCTTTTAATTTTTTTATTTTTGGGACAGGGTCTTGCTCAATTGCCTAGGCCTACCTTGGATTCATGATCCTCCTTTCTTGGCCTCTGAGTACCTGGGATTACAGGCCTGCACTACTGTGCCCGACTTTATTTTAATTTTTTTGTGTGAAAATAGTAGTGTTTGTGCTGTTTTATTGGCACATTAAATGACAAGATCTGGTGCTAGGTCTCATAGCCACCATAATTTTGACACAATGAAGGTACATGGTATTTTGAGACATTTGCAGCATTTTAATGTGAACAGTAAATATCGGTGATTTCTGTTGGTGACATACTCACAGACTTGGAGTTTGTTGCCATCACTCTTATTAAATGAAATGCTAAATGTCAGATGGAATTCAGTGAACATGTATTTTTTTCCCAAGATAGAAATATAGATTTCTATTCATAGATCTAGTGGGCCCAGGAGCCCAAATTAAGAAGCCCTACCCTGGGTGAGAAACATATTCTGCTTAAGCTGCAGAGCATACTCAGGTGAGAATTCCCATGTAGAAATCACAACTCCAGTCTTGCCTTGGTGGTATTATCTTTTCTATCCCACCTGGCAGCTCACTGTGGGAAGTCAAGGTGAGTCCTCCTGCTTTGTCCTGCTTACCCTATCCCTGGCCTCTAGTTCCTGATCTAGTCCTCTTGAGGCTCCAAGCAAAAAAAGCACAGTGCATAACAAATGTTGTTTTATATGTTAGCAAGATAAATGTCAAAAAGAAAAAGAGTGCACGTGGTGAGCAGTTCTTGACTATCAAATGTGTTGAAGGTAAGTAAAATGTGTCCCTTATAGGAATATGCTGTATGGCTCTGAAACCAGCCTAACTCATTTACCCCGCTTATCACTGTGGGGTTGACTGAGGAAGAAAGAAAAAATATAAAGCTTTCAAAATATAAAACTTATAAAAGTGAAACTAAAATAAATCTAGCAGCAAAATGTCTACAGAAGGGCATGCTGTACATAGAATTGATGGTAGTCTGGTTAAGTTTCATATATATTAAATTGTTGAGAGCCACAGTTTAGTCAGAATGATGCCTGGCATTTTGCTAGAGGGAATGGTTGAAAGGTGACCCAGCTCTAGGATTAGGGCAGCTCTGGGGATTAGGGAGGATCCTGCTGCCTCCCAGAGCCCAATGGAGGGAGTGTGTTCCTGGGAAGTGTGTGTAGAGTGCCGGTGAGAGTTCAGGAATAAAGAGTTGTTGTTTGAACCTATAAGGCTTTGTGGCAGCTGGGTTATTTTGTGTCCAGCCAGACTGCGGCATTAAATGTTTTCTGGGGTGAGATAATATACCATGCTTTTTTTTTTTTTTTTTTAACTCAGAAACTTCATTATAACTAGAGTCAAATGAATTTTTTCTCTTAAAGATATCAACTTACAAGGACAGAAGAAAATAGCACTGAATAGTGAAGCTGGAAAACAGATAGATATTGGGAACCGAGTTAACAAACCTAAGAAAGCTGACTTCCAAGCCAATACTGGGGGAAAGTTGAGAACGACCTATATTTCCATCATGGATTTCACAAAAGGTTCAGGAACAGGCAGATGGTAGGCACCCCAGGGACTGGTATGGCATATGTGGTAAGAGCAGTTTGAGAAGCAGTTCCATTCTTAAGTAATGTCCCATGCTATGCTGCCATTGGCCTGACCAATGTCTGGAGATTTGTTTTCTACATTTAGTGAAACAAGGCTTCTAGCCTGAGGGATGGATGCCAGGCATGGCTTATTGTTACTATTCTAAAAGCAGGGAAATTAGTGTGGAAACAGATATTCTGTGTGATCAATACTAATGCTCAGACTTCCCACCCAGATTTCAGAATGCTGATACCTCTATCTTCCAAAGACTTTTCCCTGAGGTATCTGACTAGCCAAGCGGATGGACCTAAAGATACGGATATTAGGTATCTCTCTGATAAATGGCTGCCTTGATCACCCTACAGCAAAGTTCTAAGGTGCCAAATGCCTCTCCACATTCAGAATCTTTAATCAGGATTTTAGCTTCCTTAAGCAATCCAAGGATCACTGTATAATCATGGAAATTCTGTAACATGGAAAACATAGACCACATAATGCAGAAAAACATCAACATGGGGAAATAGAGTCTATGAAGAGAAAAAAACAGAAAACATACTGCAGCCATGGAACAAGAGCAGGGCATATCAATTAACAGTATTCAGGAAGCAAAAATGAGCTTTTGGAAATTAAAAATTTGATGGCAGAAGTTAAAACAAGTATATAAACCAGAAGATAAATTTGAGGAGTCTTCTAGAAAGGTAAACAACAAGAAAGTAGGAGAGAAAATCTAACAACCAAAAAGAGCTGTTCCAGAATGATGTATCAGGGAAGACATGGTGATATAATCAAACAAATTAAGATGAAATTTCCAGAACCATAGGCTGCTAGTTTCTAGATTGAAAGAACCTGCCTAGAACCCTGGAGAATTGATGGAAATATATCATCATTAAAGCCATAGACTAGAGAAAAACAGTCTCCAAACTTCTATAAAAATGGCAGAAATCAGAAACAAGATATTTGAATGGTTGAACACATCCCAGCAGAAACCCTGGAATCAGGAGACAGTGAAGCAGTGCCTGAAATTATTTCCAACCTATAATTCTAAATGGAGCCAAGCAATGAATGAAACGTGAATAATAATGACATTTTCAAGATATTTCAAAAAAAGCAACAACAACTTGTCTCTCATATATTGTATGCCCTTTTAAAAGAAGTCACTGAAGACATACTCCAACAGAGGAGAAAATAAATGACTTGGAATACAGGAAATAAGAGATTCAACACAGAAATGATATGAAGTCCAAAGTCAGGGGGATACTGAAAGGAGAGCCCAGCAGAAGAGACTTCACTAGTTATGTGGGGTTACTGGTTCATGTTGGAGCAGGGTGGCTCAAGAGCCATCCTCACAAAGTGCTGGTGTTGAAGCTTTTCCTCCGAGGTCAGAAAGCCTGGTCAGCCTGACCCAGATTCTTCTCTGCACTTCTCTTGTACTTACTACCTACTGACACAGTTCCTGCTTTTCCATTTATGTCTGCTGCTTGGATTAACCACTCCTGGGGGATAAGGAAACAGAAAAGAAAAAGAGGA